AGGTAGTATTAAGGAGAGGTCTCATGACACCTCGACCTGCACATCAAAAGTAGTGCTTAGGGGCAGGTGGTTGAGTCTAAGACTGGGAGCCCAAAGGCTTCCATTTTGGGAATTTCCCTTTATTCTTTTTGGGGCAGATAGTGCCATTGTGAGGGGAATTGGGACAAATAAGGTCTCTATTGGTATTGAGGGCTAAAATGTCCCTTTTGCCCTCATGTGTAGATTCCCAATGATCTGGGAGTGGCCCTGCAATCCTTCAAGGAGTGGAGGGAGGCATCAGTCCTCTCAGCGAAGAGCTTGAAACCCTCAAAGTCCTCCTGTGTTCTAAACCTCTTTCAGGAATCCTGAGAGGTGAAGCCACGACACCCGTCTTATCACCACAGCAGTGGAGGTGGTCCTGGCAGCCATGTCAGCTGCATCAACGGCCGATTGCAAAGGTGGTTTTTGCTACCAGCTGCCATTCCTGGATGATGACCTTGAAGGAGTCCCAAGAGCTCTCCAGCAGTTTATCAATAAAGTTGTGTAATTTATTATAATTCATGTAGTTGTACTTTGCCATGAGTGCCTAGTAGCTGGCAATTCAAAACTGTAAGGTGGCTGAGTACGCCTTCCTACCGAAGGGATCAAGGCACTTCCAGTCTCTGTCATAGGGTGTTGTCTTAGAGTGGTGCTGTCAGCCATGGGATTTCACAGCGTCCACCACGATGGAATTTATGGAGAGCTGCCTCCATAAAGATGATTTCATAGAATCATAGAATATAAGGGTTGGAAGGGACCCCAGAAGGTCATCTAGTCCAACCCCCTGCTCGAAGCAGGACCAATTCCCAGTTAAATCATCCCAGCCAGGGCTTTGTCAAGCCTGACCTTAAAAACCTCTAAGGAAGGAGATTCTACCACCTCCCTAGGTAACGCATTCCAGTGTTTCACCACCCTCTTAGTGAAAAAGTTTTTCCTAATATCCAATCTAAACCTCCCCCACTGCAACTTGAGACCATTACTCCTCGTTCTGTCATCTGATACCATTGAGAACAGTCTAGAGCCATCCTCTTTGGAACCCCCTTTCAGGTAGTTGAAAGCAGCTATCAAATCCCCCCTCATTCTTCTCTTCTGCAGGCTAAACAATCCCAGCTCCCTCAGCCTCTCCTCATAACTCATGTGTTCCAGACCCCTAATCATTTTTGTTGCCCTTCGCTGGACTCTCTCCAATTTATCCACATCCTTCTTGTAGTGTGGGGCCCAAAACTGGACACAGTACTCCAGATGAGGCCTCACCAATGTCGAATAGAGGGGAACGATCACTTCCCTCGATCTGCTCGCTATGCCCCTACTTATACATCCCAAAATGCCATTGGCCTTCTTGGCAACAAGGGCACACTGCTGACTCATATCCAGCTTCTCGTCCACTGTCACCCCTAGGTCCTTTTCCGCAGAACTGCTGCCTAGCCATTCGGTCCCTAGTCTGTAGCTGTGCATTGGGTTCTTCCGTCCTAAGTGCAGGACCCTGCACTTATCCTTATTGAACCTCATCAGATTTCTTTTGGCCCAATCCTCCAATTTGTCTAGGTCCTTCTGTATCCTATCCCTCCCCTCCAGCGTATCTACCACTCCTCCCAGTTTAGTATCATCCGCAAATTTGCTGAGAGTGCAATCCACACCATCCTCCAGATCATTTATGAAGATATTGAACAAAACCGGCCCCAGGACCGACCCTTGGGGCACTCCACTTGATACCGGCTGCCAACTAGACATGGAGCCATTGATAACTACCCGTTGAGCCCGACAATCTAGCCAGCTTTCTACCCACCTTGTAGTGCATTCATCCAGCCCATACTTCCTTAACTTGCTGACAAGAATACTGTGGGAGACCGTGTCAAAAGCTTTGCTAAAGTCAAGAAACAATACATCCACTGCTTTCCCTTCATCCACAGAACCAGTAATCTCATCATAGAAGGCGATTAGATTAGTCAGGCATGACCTTCCCTTGGTGAATCCATGCTGGCTGTTCCTGATCACTTTCCTCTCATGCAAGTGCTTCAGGATTGATTCTTTGAGGACCTGCTCCATGATTTTTCCAGGGACTGAAGTGAGGCTGACTGGCCTGTAGTTCCCAGGATCCTCCTTCTTCCCTTTTTTAAAGATTGGCACTACATTAGCCTTTTTCCAGTCATCCGGGACTTCCCCGGTTCGCCACGAGTTTTCAAAGATAATGGCCAATGGCTCTGCAATCACAGCCGCCAGTTCCTTCAGCACTCTCGGATGCAACTCGTCCGGCCCCATGGACTTGTGCACGTCCAGCTTTTCTAAATAGTCCCTAACCACCTCTATCTCCACAGAGGGCTGGCCATCTCTTCCCCATTTTGTGATGCCCAGCGTAGCAGTCTGGGAGCTGACCTTGTTAGTGAAAACAGAGGCAAAAAAAGCATTGAGTACATTAGCTTTTTCCACATCCTCTGTCACTAGTTTGCCTCCCTCATTCAGTAAGGGGCCCACACATTCCTTGGCATAATTTTCTGGCGAAGTTGTCTTTGTGGGATTTTGGTCAGAGCTGCTGGCAGAGGGAACACTTTTGTTGGATATGGTCCTTGCCAAGAAAGAAAAGGCACTGGGAGTGCTTCTCCACAACCGGGATCGCCTCGCTGAAAGTGCAATACTTCTTGAAGGCCGGAGAGCTAGGCATATCCTTTTCCAGGTGGGTTCCCACCATTGGGGGCAAAACCAGGACAAAGTCTTTTCTCTCTCTCTTTTTTTTTTTTTATTAGGCACAGCCAAATAAAGAGTCAGAAGAAAGCTAAAAAGTTTCTAAAAGCTAACGATATGCTAATGGACAGCTAAAGGCCCTGTTTCTATCCAGGGTGGTTAAGAAGGAACTGAGGGTAGTTATCCCATGTGCACTGGCTAGCCTCATGGCACAGCACGAGTAGAGACAGTGCATGTGCGGGCCCCATAGACACTGCTACCTGTGGCGGTTCAATACAGGACACGGCTTTAGGCAAGCAAGCAGGCTGGTCTGCTGATGGGATTACCCCTGTCAGCTTTTCCACCTCTTTTATTTCTCTCCCCCCTGCGCATCACATACCCCAACCGACCGCAAAAGGCATCAACAAAGGAAATAATATGACTTTGATTAATATTCCTATTTACTGGCCTCTATCTACTACAATCTTTATTCTCAGGCCTTGAGCTTCGGCCGAGGAAGCTTCCCACGGCTGATGTCCTTATTTTGACTTCCCAGATGGTCCATGTTTTCATGGTCTATGTCCTTGGATAGAACAGAGTAATGTGTGCATTGCTCCTACACAACAGTCAGGGTGTGCCCTGACTGTTTCCAGGTGCATGAACGCTACATGAACCCTTCAGCTACCGAAGTTCTATGATCAGCAGCGCAGGGACACAGACACACCTACAGTGAAGCACCCATAGGGACACTACTTGATGAAGGGGATCTTTGCAACTATTGGCCTTGTGCAGTACAGCGGCAAAAAGGTATAGGAGAGGGGTCACTATGTTAAAGAAGTGGATAGTTGGGCTTCATAGTACAAGTTATGCACAAAAAAAGCCCCCCAAAACACAACCTTTGAAATATTAAAATATTTACCTTCAGTATTTTTTTAAACAGGATTTTTAAATTCTCACTCCCAGCTAAACACATTGCTTTTCAATTGTCTATGTTACAGAAAACCACAACTCCATATATTCCCGTAAATGAGTTTGGAATAAATTTAGGTTGTGTGTACACTAGTATTTTTCTTAATCTCTCTCTACTCCAGCTCCACCTGCAGTAGCAGCAGTGGGAGAGCTGCCAGTGTTTTAAACTGTTTGTCATCTAAGGCCATGTCTACAGTACAGACGTGTATCAGTATAACTACATTGCTCAGGGGTGTGAAAAGTCCACACCCACGACAACATAGTTATACCAACCTAACCCACCGTGTAGACAGCGCTATGTTGATGGGAGAGTGGATTAACTAAGCCAATGGGAGGAGCTCTCCTGTTGGCATAGGAGTGTCTTCACGAAAGCACCAGAATGGCACAGCTGTATGTGAAGACAAGCCCTAATTCTGCTTCGAACAGATCTGGTGGCACAATGGTTGCAATGCCAGCAGCAGGCTGTCCACATTAATGGTCCCATCAATGTTAACACCACTGGAGCTGTGCTATGTGGTCATATAATAATGGAAGATATTAAGAAAAATGATAGTGTAGAAAAGGTTCAATGTTTTAAAAATGTCAGGACTCAGCTCTTCCTAGAAAAAAACATTTAAAATACTGGGTTTGGTGGTGTTTTCTTTTTTTTTTTGAATACTGGCTTAAAAACTCACTTAACAGATGTATATATGTGGTAGAAGAAGTTGACTTATATCTTGTAGTCAACAGGACATTTCTGTCATCAACTTCAATAGAGCAGGATCAGGCTCTTAAACACAAATAAATGGCAGGGAGAATATATACCATCTTATAGTTTTTTAAAATATATCTTTAACATTTTGAATAATTCATGCAATGTGCTATTTACAAGTAACAGAAAGACTCCATAATTTAAGAATAATAGTCTTTAGTTAGCGTGTACATATCTACATGGTCCATGGATGCTGAAAACACTTGGATGATGTTATATTAAAATAACTGCATACAAAACACAGGATAACACTCCTTTGAAAAGGAGGAGTTGGGGAAAGGGCAGCCCCATTGCTTTAAGATACCCATTCTTAATCCATTTAGTGCTGCAGGCTGTCTGGTGTTAGCAATCATGTACAATTGGACCTGCTGCAGAGCAAAGAGCAGTCTTGCCCCACAAACTAGGAGACAGCCAATATTCTAGGAGACCCATCATAAACAAGACGTGCTTCCATAAACCTGCTGGGTCATTTAGAGGACTGGGGGAATAATGCTGACACTGTGCTTGTGAGGAAAAAATAGTAATTATATATAAATCTTGAGTTTTCCTAATATACTTGTAACAAAAAGTATGCTTAAATCACAAAATAAAATCACACATCTAATTAACATTTACAAAATTTATTAACTCTTATAAAAATCTATTTGCATTTTTTGCAGTAGTCAATTTAAGCTGTTAAATCAGAATTCCCACATAATAGTTTTGCCAATAAAAACCTGTAGATTTTTTTAAAAAGAATATTTACAGAATTTTCATGAAAATATAAAACTTTAGTATCCCAAAATTAAGCTAACTAGATAAGAACATACAATTACGTATGGGCAGATTCAGCAAAGTAATACAACTTCCAGACTGCTGAAATGATCATCAGTGAAAGGAGGCATCAATGTTGGCACAGAAAGTTTTTTTGGTTGCTGTAATTTTGCACAAGCTCACCACGGTTTGGAAAGCAAATATATTTGGCTGAATTATGCCATTAAAAGAGGTATCACTTCTACTTATATAAACAGATAAACATATCTCCATTATACCTAAATTCACTGAATGCTTTACAACTCTATCAAATCTAAGTGCTCATCCATTTACATAAAAAAACTGAAAAATCAAATACTGAAAAGATTTCAAAACTGGTTCTACAACTATTAAGATTATTTTCTTGTTCTTGCACTTGCTCTTGTTTTCCTTTCTGTTCCTCCAGCACTCTGAATCATGCTTATATCACCTTTGCCAAGTTCTCCTTTAGTTTTGTTTCTTGTTTCTTTCTGCAGAGTTATACTTTGACCAGACTCTGTAAAAATAAATAAATAAATAAAAATAAAAAATTAACTGTAAATTTAGATAATAAATCAAACTTTTTAGCTGAAATTCAAATCTTCAGCTATGCTGTTTTAGAGAAAAATATCCCTAATAAATATATTCCAGAGACAATACCCAGGAATACAACAAACCAGTTATGAAAGCTGCACTTCTGCACAACCAGCATCCTTTAAAATAGATCCCTGAAGACTCACAGCTATTTCTGAAACCAGATTAACATTAATAAGTGCACTAAAGCTAATTCTTTTTCTTATATGGCATTTTGAAACCATGGTAGTCCATTCTGTACAAATGGACTTCAGATACAGTGGTTAGCTGTGATATACACCGGGAAGCCTGTTGAATAAGCAGTCATGGACAATATGATGACTGTACTAATAGGCTGTGGTGGAGCAGCAGATGACACTGTTATAAATCACCATAAATGTCCAAAGATAGTGCTGTGACATGGTGAATACAGGCCACCATTCAGTAAGCGCGCTGCCAACATTCCTGCTGCCTTGTGGGTTTAAGCCTTTTACTAAAGGAAAAGGTTTCAACCAGAATAACTGGCTGCACTTGATTCTTGGGGCCTTTGTGGAGTATTAGTCCCAAAGTTATACCATAAACCCAATTTGGTACTTTTAGTGATTTTTTTTTTAAACTCATATGTAAACTAAAGACTCCCAATAAAAATATTAAAGCAAGGAAAACCCTGCATTAGAATATACAGCAGTGGTTCTGGGTCCACGAAGAGCTGGCAGGTCAGGCTCTTCATTGTAAAGAAAAGACTAGACACCTGCATAGGAATCTAGAAACCAGAAGAAAGAGGTGCTGATCCCAGAAAAAAGTCACTAATGGCACCAGAGATGGTAGCTACCATCAAAAGCTGCTTGGTGGAAAGATGACCTCCAGCTAAAGAGCAATGTCCAGAAGAACGGTGAGAAAAGAATCAGGTACCTAGTGCATGTATAGCAGGAGCAGGGAGCAAGAAAGGGAACCAGAAGGCAGGAGAAAAGAATGGGAAAAAGGAATAAGACAAAACGGCAAATGTAAAGGGAAAAAATGAGGAGGTTAGCATGAGCATGGGATTGGAGGATCAGACAGCAAGAAAGAGTATGATGGGGAAGAGGGGACCAGGCAGAGGAGAAGGATGAGAAGGAACATACATATGTGGGGAAGATTAAATGAAGGTGAAAAAGATAGTGATCTTTTAAAATTGACATCACATTGAAAACAGTTATCTAAATATTTTCCTAATATTTTTTCATGTTAACAATTGTTGTAATTGCAATAGAGATGTTGTACAATTGCAAATAGATTGAGTGGACCGTGATTCATAATAAGAACAATTTTGAGGACTTGAGATTTACAGTAACAAAGGAAAGTATTATTTATGCTACGTGCTATACAAACATGTACTAAGTGTCTCTGTGGCAACAAACGTTTAAGATTGAAATATTGGGATCTACAGTAATGCAAATTTTATCACTTTTATTCACAACATTAAGTTACAGGCAAGATCAAGAATAAAGCAATTCCTTATCTAAAACATGCAAGTTTACATTCACCCACCTTCAAAAATTAAACAATTATATTAGGTAACTGAAAATAAATCATTGCCATACCTGATTTTAATTTTTTGGCTGCCTTTTCATCCTCTGGCAAGTGGCGTTTTTCCCTGAGAGAAGTGGAACTAGCTACTTGAGATGTGAGATCAACCTGTTTTCTTCTGCCCTTTTTTGATGCCTGGAAAGTAATATTTTCCAAAGGCACATTTTGGTCTTCTTTAGGGACCTTCTCTTTATCATCATTTTCTGGCAAGCTGCTTTTTCCTCGGAGAGAAGTGGAACTAGCAGCCTGTGTTGTGAGATCAACCTGTTTCCGTCTGCCCCTTCTGGGTGGATTAGCTTTTGCCTCAGTAGAATTTCCCAAAGGCACATTTTGGTCTTCTTTAGGAACCTTCTCTTTACCATCATTTTCTAGCAAGCTGCTTTTTCCTCGGAGAGAAGTGGAACTAGCTGCCTGTGTTGTGAGATCAACCTGTTTCCGTCTGCCCCTTCTGGGTGGATTAGCTTTTGCCTCAGTAGAATTTCCCAACGGCACATTTTGGTCTTCTTTAGGAACCTTCTCTTTACCACCATTTTCTGGCAAGCGGCTTTTTCCTCGGAGAGAAGTGGAACTAGCTGCCTGTGTTGTGAGATCAACCTGTTTTCTTCTGCCCTTTATTGATGCCTGGGAAGTAATAGTTTCCAACGGCACATTTTGGTCTTCTTTAGGAACCTTCTCTTTATCATCATTTTCTGGCAAGCTGCTTTTTCCTCGGAGAGAAGTGGAACTAGCTGCCTGTGTTGTGAGATCAACCTGTTTCCGTCTGCCCCTTCTGGGTGGATTAGCTTTTGCCTCAGTAGAATTTCCCAACGGCACATTTTGGTCTTCTTTAGGAACCTTCTCTTTACCACCATTTTCTGGCAAGCTGCTTTTTCCTCGGAGAGAAGTGGAACTAGCTGCCTGTGTTGTGAGATCAACCTGTTTTCTTCTGCCCTTTATTGATGCCTGGGAAGTAATAGTTTCCAACGGCACATTTTGGTCTTCTTTAGGAACCTTCTCTTTATCATCATTTTCTGGCAAGCTGCTTTTTCCTCGGAGAGAAGTGGAACTAGCTGCCTGTGTTGTGAGATCAACCTGTTTTCGTCTGCCCCTTCTGGGTGGATTAGCTTTTGCCTCAGTAGAATTTCCCAACGGCACATTTTGGTCTTCTTTAGGGACCTTCTCTTTATCATCATTTTCTGGCAAGCTGCTTTTTCCTCGGAGAGAAGTGGAACTAGCTGCTTGTGTTGTGAGATCAACCTGTTTCCGTCTGCCCTTTCTTGGTGGATTAGCTTTTGCCTCAGTAGTATTTCCCAAAAGCACATTTTGGTCTTCTTTAGGAACCTTCTCTTTACCATCATTTTCTGGCAAGCTGCTTTTTCCTCGGAGAGAAGTGGAACTAGCTGCTTGTCTTGTGAGATCAACCTGTTTCTGTCTGCCCTTTCTGGGTGGATTAGCTTTTGCCTCGGTAGTATTTCCCAAAGGCACATTTTGGTCTTCTTTAGGAACCTTCTCTTTACCATCATTTTCTGGCAACCTGCTTTTTCCTTGGAGAGAAGTGGAACTAGCTGCCTGTCTTGTGAGATCAACCTGTCGCCTTCTGCCCTTTCTTGATGGATTCACTTTTGCCTGGGAGGTAGTACTTCCCAAAGGCACGTTTTGGTCTTTAGGAATCGCATCTTTATCATCATTTTCTGTCAAGCTACTTTTTCCTCTGAGAGAAGTGCAATTAGCTGCCTGAGATGTGAGAGAAACTTGGTTCCTTCTGCCCCTTCTTGATAGCTTCTCTTTTATAGGCGAAACAATAGCTTCAAAAGGCACATTTTGACTCTCTGACATCTCTTCTTTACTGCTATCTCCTGGCAAGGTGCATTTTCCTCCAAAAGAAGTGGAATTAGCTGCTTTATGATCAACCTGTTTCCTTCTGCCCCTTCTGGATGTATTCTCTTTTGTAGGGGAAGCAGTAGATTCCAAAGCTGCATCTTGGTCTTTTTTGGCATCACTTTCTGGCAAGCTGTATTTTTTTCTAAGAGAAGTGGAACTAACCTTATCTGGTGTGAGATCAACTTCTTTCCTTCTGCCCCTTCTTGAGAGATTTTCATTTGCTTGGGAAGGAAAGTTTTCTGAAGTCTCATTTTGGTCTTTATCATTACCTTCAGGTAAAACGTGTTTTCCTCTGAGAGAAGCAGAACTGGCTTCCTCAAGTTCAAAATGAACTTTTTTCCCTCTGTCTCTTCTTGGTGTATTTTCATTTGCTTCTGTAGCATTATTTTCTAAAATCTCAATTTGTTTGGTTTCGGATGCTTCCTGTTTGCCATCACCTTTCCTTATCCTCTTTCCGTGTCTAAGAACAGTTCTCTCATCATATACCACTGCAGCAGTTGGATTGTTTTGGGCTTCCTTGGTTTTGGAACTTTGCACTGTCTGTAGAGATCCTAGAGAATCCTTTGTAGAAATTGTCTCTGGTTCAGTTTCTGATATATTTTGTGGTATCATTTTTTCATTTTTGGCAAATTCACCTTCCTTAATGTCCAATATACCGTTTTGACCTCTGTTATTTCCGTGTGTTTGATTAGTTTTTTTAATTGAATTCCTGTTTGCTTGCAAGCTATAAACATCAAGTGGTGCGTCATTTGTGTTTTCAAAATGTGACTCCTTTAACTTTAAGCTTTGACCTGTTTTTGCTTCCTTATTTCCCTGAGCTGCTTTTGTCTCATTTTTTGTAGATTTGTGTATTTTAACTACAGTTTCTTTTGATGTTCTCTTGGCTTCCTGGACACTTGTTATATTTTCAGGTACCATCTCTGTACTTACTTTCTTTGTTTCCTCTAATTGCTTTCTAGATTTTACTCTCAAAGATTTTCTTCCTTTCATCTCTGTTACCATAATTTCAAGGGTTGGTTTATCGATTTCAGATTCTTCTACTGCAGCAGCCTCAATGGTACTGTTGGCAAAATCCTGTTCATCTGTTTGTACACACTTTACTGTTTCTGCTCTACAAGGATTCCTTGTTGTCTGTCTTTGGGATTTTTCTTTTGCATCATGTTCCTCTGTAAATTCCTGTTTGTTATCTTCAGTTTTCCCTCTTCTGGTTCTTTTAGCTGGAACTAATGATTCTAGCATTTCTAATTTTTTCTCCCTTCTAGACCTCTTCCTAACTGACAGAGCCACCTTTTCATTATTTTCTACACTACCTTGATCAGACTTATCTTCAGGTGCTATAAGCCCTGTTTGCAGAGGGTGCCCTCTTACATTTTTACTGCTACTAGATACATTTGCTGTCTTCATACTTTGATCATTTTCCATTATTAAAATATGGTTTGTGACAGATTGATACACAGTCTGCAAATTCTGTTTCATACTTGTAGTTTCTCTTTGTGGCATTAAAGAATCTTTATCACGAGACTCAAGACTCCTTTTACCTCTTCTGGAGCTATGAAAAGTTCCATGTATTTCTACTGAGGAAACAGCTTCCTTATTTTTGTCAAGTTGTTTGTGAACATGAATTTTTGAAATAATTTCTTCTTGCATACACTGATTGGTTCTCTCTTTTCTTCCTAGATTTTTAACTACCGTAGTGAAAGCAATAGCCTCCTCCTTCTGGTCTTCAATGCTCTCTTTCATCAGAACTGGTAATTCTAATAAATTTACATTCTCCTGTAGATTTTCTTCACATTCTCTTAGTGAAGAGGGATTCTCTTTTATTTCTATTTTCTGCTGTTTTGCCCTTGTAGATTTTTTGTCTTTACCGGACAAATCGATAGATCCCTGGATAAGATTTAATTGTGGGGCCACAGGATTTTCAAAAAGCAATTCTTTATCATCACTATCTTTCAAATTTTGGTTTAATTCTCTTTGCCGTTGCATAGCTGGTTCTTGAACTGGATCCATTTTGGTAAGTAAAAGAGAGATTACTGAATTTGAGAGATTATGGCTCTTGGTCGGAGACCCATCACTTATTTTTTCTTTTTCAACATTTTCTATATTTTTCACAATTTCTGACTCCTTAGGTGAAATAAATGCATGTTCAAGATTTTCTTGCAATTCTTGTTCATTTTTAATGTTTCTATTCCTAGATCTCACAAATGGGAGTGATGTTTTTTCAAGTGAATCTTCCATTCTTTTCTCTTGCTTCAGTTCTTCTCTTTCATAATTTCCTCTAGATTCTAAAACAAGTAACATTTTTCATTAAAAACACAGAACAAAAGGAGCAAGAATAAAATTAGTAAAATAAGTGCACAACGCGCCTGATCAAAATTACCTCTAAGCTTAGGGTAGGACTATTTGATTCTATTAAAATGGTAATGACAGGTTTCAGAGTAGCAGCCGTGTTAGTCTGTATCCGCAAAAAAAAAAAAAAAGAAGAAGTACTTGTGGCACCTTAGAGACTAACAAATTTATTTGAGCACAAGCTTTCATGAGATACAGGCATGCATCCGATGAAGTGAGTTGTAGCTCACGAAAGCTTATGCTCAAATAAATTTATTAGTCTCTAAGGTGCCACAAGTACTCCTTTTCTTTTTAAAATGGTAAGTTAACGTATATTTAATATTCTAAATAAGATATTTGAGTGACTTCTACAGATTCAACAATGAATGATTTTCAATTACACAGTTAAAGGAAAAAGAAAAGGAGTACTTGTGGCACCTTAGAGACTAACCAATTTATTTGAGCATGAGCTTTCGTGAGCTACAGCTCACTTCATCGGATGCATACCGTGGAAACTGCAGAAGACATTATATACACACAGAGACCATGAAACAATACCTCCTCCCACCCCACTGTCCTGCTGGTAATAGCTTATCTAAAGTGATCATCAAGTTGGGCCATTTCCAGCACAAATCCGTTTTCTCCCCCTCCCCCCCCCCCCCCCCACCCACTCCTTTAGCCCACCAAAGTGACCACTCTCTTCACAATTGTATGAATCAAGTTGGAGCCATTTCCAGCACAAATCCAGGTTTTCTCACCCCCCCCACCCCCACAAAAAAAAAACTCACTCTCCTGCTGGTAACAGCTTATCTAAAGTGATCATCAAGTTGGGCCATTTCCAGCACAAATCCAGGTTTTCTCACCCTCTGGCCCCCCACAAACAAACTCACTCTCCTGCTGGTAATAGCCCATCCAAAGTGACTACTCTCTTCACAATGTGTATGATAATCAAGGTGGGCCATTTCCTGCACAAATCCAGGTTCTCTCACCCCCTCACCCCCCTCCAAAAATCACACACACAAACTCACTCTCCTGCTGGTAATAGCTTATCCAAAGTGACCACTCTCCCTACAATGTGCATGATAATCAAGGTGGGCCATTTCCAGCACAAATCCAGGCTTTCTCACCCCCCCTCCCCCCCGGGAACACACACACACACACAAACTCACTCTCCTGCTGGCAATAGCTCATCCAAACTGACCACTCTCCAAGTTTAAATCCAAGTTTAACCAGAACGTCTGGGGGGGGCGGGGGGTAGGAAAAAACAAGGAGAAATAAGCTACCTTGCATAATGACTTAGCCACTCCCAGTCTCTATTTAAGCCTAAATTAATAGTATCCAATTTGCAAATGAATTCCAATTCAGCAGTTTCTCGCTGGAGTCTGGATTTGAAGTTTTTTTGTTGTAAGATATCGACCTTCATGTCTGTGATTGCGTGACCAGAGAGATTGAAGTGTTCTCTGACTGGTTTATGAATGTTATAATTCTTGACATCTGATTTGTGTCCATTTATTCTTTTACGTAGAGACTGTCCAGTTTGACCAATGTAAATGGCAGAGGGGCATTGCTGGCACATGATGGCATATATCACATTGGTGGATGTGCAGGTGAACGAGCCTCTGATAGTGTGGCTGATGTTATTAGGCCCTGTGATGGTGTCCCCTGAATAGATATGTGGGCACAGTTGGCAACGGGCTTTGTTGCAAGGATAGGTTCCTGGGTTAGTGGTTCTGTTGTGTGGTATGTGGTTGTTGGTGAGTATTTGCTTCAGGTTGTGGGGCTTAAAGGAAAGAAATGTTATTTTATTGGTTGGGCTACTGATATTTTAGAATGAGAGAAACTTGAATACATTTGATACTTTAGATATGATTATTTCATGACTGTTTAATAACCATTGGTAAAGGATATAATTACGGTTGCTATGATGATTTGGGGAATCTGTCTCTGTACAACTTATGAATTCTGATTGATTTTATGGATTCTATATATAAAATTCTAACTCTCATGCATTAAATCAGCCATTGGCTGACAATTACATTGTCATACACTACACATTCAGCTGGAAGGCTTTTCCCACATAGAACAATCAAAAGAAGTCATTAACATTTAATTATTGTGGTCTGGAAGGAAAATGGGTATGCTAAAGAGGGTGCTTGGGCTGTAAGAATCCAGTTATTCCAGGTGGTCTGCAGGGATGCTGGTTGCAGCAGTGGAAGTTCTCTAGCAGGACAGGAGCGGTGTTAGAATTGGCTTTTAAGAACTGTGAGGCTGGGAGGTTCATTCTAGGACATGCTTTCTGAGCTAGAGAGAATCTTTTGACTCTCTGACCAGCCCAAATTGATAAGAGCTTGCTGCAAGAGTCAGAGAGGAGAATCCATAACCTGGAAGAGAAGGCTGAACTGGAAGAAAGGTGACCTGGGATCCTGAAAAGACACTGACCCAATCCCAGAGAATGCTCAAGAGTGCTGAAGACTCTGAATCTCATGCCTTTTTTTCCTTTCTTTTCAAATTTTTCTGCCAAGTGATTTTGATACACGGCACAAAATCCTGTTAATCTCATTTGTATATATTTAGCAAAATCTACATTAAGGCAATATTAAAGCTTCATACAAAAACCAAAAAGTCATGAAATGTGAAAGTTGATGCTGCATTAAGAAAAGGGTACCACTGTATTTAGTAGCAGTAAGAAAATCACAGCTAAATGCACAAGATATTGTTGGGTGATTCAATAGACAGCATTCTTACCTTCAACTCAGTTTTGAACCAGCATAGTGTTAAAGGAATAATATGCTTTTGGAAGTCTTTCAAAAGAGATTTAATTTTAAATGAAGTTTAAGAGCAGGATTTTTATGCTGGTGGATCTACAGATGTTACTAACAGCATACTACATTCATAAATTCCAATTCCCAGCAGCAAGTATTCAAAATTATCACTGCACAAACTAAATTCAATATTTTCTGTGTATTCTGGCATTTTCAAAACCTCACACATTTAAGATACATTGTAAATTACAGCTTTAAAAATGCACATTTGCACTTACCACGTTCACGTTTAGGATCAATATGAGGAGAATTATTTTCTTGCATGAGATCCGTAACTTTGACCTAACAAAATTAAAAAATAATCAGTAAATCTGTGGCTGGCAGTGCTAAGGACAAGAAGAAGATTTTAAGTATACTAAGAACAAAAGAAATGCTAATAATGGTATAGACCCCCTACTAGAAGGAGATTTAAAACGGTTAATGATGCAAAAAAGGCAGGAAGTATTAACATTTCTGTTCTATATTTGGAAAGAAGCAGGACAATATACTCTTATCACATGAGGATGATGAGCTACTTTCCAGTCCATTACTAACTAAGGAGGATGTTAAACAACATCTGCTATGACTAAATATTTTTAAATTGTCAGGCCCTGGTAACTTGCACTCAAGAGTCCTAGAAGGCTTAGCTGAGAAGATCTCTGGCCTGCTCATGATCATTTTTAATATATCTTGAAATAACAGGGAAATTCCGTAACTCCAGAAGAGTGGTTATGTGCCAATATTTAAAAAGGACAGGCAGGATGACCTAGGTAACTAAAGGCTGGTTAGCCTGACATCGAACCCAGGCAAAATAATGAAAAAACTGAAAAGAGATTCAACTGATAAAGAATTAAAGGACAGAAATACAACTAATTCCAGTAAACATGATTTTATGGAAAACAGATCTTGTGAAACAAACCTGATTTCATCCACTTTTGAAATTACAAGTTTGGTTGAGAAAGGTAATTGTTTAGATGTAATATACTTAAGAATTTTGTAAGGGATTTTTGACTTAGTATCACTCAGCATTTTGATTAAAAAATGGCACTATACAATATCAATAAAGCACATTAAATAGAATAAGAACCAGCTGACAGAGCTAAAAAAAAAGTAGCTGTCAGTGGAGAATCATTATCAAATGGGGGTGTTTATAGCAGGATTCTGTAGGGATTGGTTCTAGGCCTGTTCAACATTTTCATCAATGATCTAGAATTAAATATAAAATCATTGCTGATAAAACTTGCATATGACACAAAGATTGACTAAGTGATAAATAATGAGGACAGGGTTGACATCATAGAGAGTTGTCTGGATCACCTGGTAAACTGATCCCACTCAAACACAATGTGTTTTAATGCAGCTAATGGAAAGTTATACACATCTAAGAGACAAGCAATGCGGGCCATATCTACAAAATAGGGGATTGTATCATGGAAAGCAGTAACTCTGAAAAGGATTTAGGAGGTCAGAGAAGGAAGGCAAACCAACATGACTTCTCAGTACCACTCTGTGGCAAAAAGGGCATCCTTAAATATATGAACAGGGGAATAGTGAGCAAGAGTTGGGAAATGATCTTACCTCTGTACAAAGCATTGGTGAGACCAGTACTGGGAAACCACATACAATTTTGATGTCCATGTTTTAAAAATAATGTTAAAAAATTGGAAAGGGTGCAGTGAAAGACTCAAAGAGCTCAATCTGCTTAGTTTATCAAAATGGTTGAAAGACAATTTGATTACAGTACATTCTCAGGAAGAAAAATTTCAAGTACTAAAGAACTCTAATCTAGCAAAGAAAGATATAAGAATCACCAATAGCTGGAAGCTGAAGCCAGACAAATCCAAATTAGAAATAATGCACAATTTTTTAATAATGAAAGCAATTCACAACCACGGGCACAAGCTACCAAGGGAAGTGATGGATTCTTAATGAGAAGATATCAAGAGATGGAGAATCCACCACTGCCCCTGTGTTGTGCTCAGTAACTTATTTAGTATTATTTCTGGAACACATGCATCAGCCAGATAAGTTATTGAGCTCAACACAGGGGTAACTGGATGAAATTTTATAGCCAGGAGGGTAGTATAGATAATCTTATGGTATCCTCTAGTCTTAAAATTTATGAATTTGACTACAATTGAAATTACCAAAATAATGTAACAAGATCTTTTACCTTAATTTCCTTTGGTGTATCAAAAATTTCTTTAACACCAACATAATCCAGTTCAGAATTTGAATATTTTTGTTTAGGCTCAGCCATAAGTTTTTGCAATCCCACATAGTCATCAACTGGTAGATATTTTTCCCTTGGTGTCCTCAGTAGTCTGCTGATACCAAACATGTCTTCTACTGGTTCGACTCTTTCCTTTGTCTTCAATAGCCTTTTGATTCCTACCATATCTTCTGATTGGATTCTCTGATTAGATGTTTTCATAATATGGCTGATCCCTATCTTGTCTTCTACTGGCTGACATTTCTGCTTTTGTATTGTCTTCATAAAACAGACTCCCACCAGATCCTTTACTACTTGCTTTTTTTGTGCTGGAGTCTTTAGTAATCTTTTTAAGGCAATTTCATCTGTAAGAGGTTCCATCTTCTGCTTTGGTGTCCTCAAGAGCCTTTTGACGCCCGAGAGAGCCTCGACAGGTTCAGTCTTTTGCTTTGGAGTCCTCAAGAGCCTTTTGACGCCCGAGAGAGCCTCGACAGGTTCAGTCTTTTGCTTTGGAGTCCTCAAGAGCCTTTTGACGCCCGAGAGAGCCTCGACGGGTTCGGTCTTTTGCTTTGGAGTCCTCAAGAGCCTTTTGACGCCCGAGAGAGCCTCGACGGGTTCGGTCTTTTGCTTTGGAGTCCTCAAGAGCCTTTTGACGCCCGAGAGAGCCTCGACGGGTTCGGTCTTTTGCTTTGGAGTCCTCAAGAGCCTTTTGACGCCCGAGAGAGCCTCGACGGGTTCGGTCTTTTGCTTTGGAGTCCTCAAGAGCCTTTTGACGCCCAAGAGAGCATCGACGGGTTTGATCTTTTGCTTTGGAGTCTTCACAAGCCTTTTAGCTTTCACTGTCACCTCAGTTATATGCTTTTCTGGCATTACTAACGGATTACTCATTTCCACCGTCTCTTCTAGTACAGTTCTCTCTTTTTTAGGAGTCTGCTTTAACTTAGCAGCCACAAAAGCAGAATTTGGAGACTTCTCCAGTCTCAGGAAGCGAGATACAACATCTTGACTATCTTTTCTCTGTTGTGACATGCCGGAGGTACTTAATGGTGATATTACCATCTCTCCTGTAATAAAATTAGGTTTATGTAATTCAAAAGGAAATTTAAGCAAGGAAGTCAAGTATGGAAATTGCTGAAGAAGTATCAGGCACGCAAAGCTTCTGCCCCTTGCACCAAAATCTAGTCTTATTTAAACAAGCAACTTGGTAATTAACAATGAAAAACAACATGAAGGCACTACACAAATTTTAAAAATGAGTTTTTAATTGAATTAAATATGAAAATGAATATAACTAGTGTTCCTTCTGTTATTTTATCCAATGTTAAGTTAAATTTCTTGTGTACTGTCCCTAAACTTTAAACGTGCTGAAACTTTGTTTTGAAGTTGCATAACACGCAAGCATCAGGTGGAAGCTGATTTTTTGGCATAAGGGGACATTTGGCATTTTTGGCACTGGAAAAGGTGTGGCGGACAAAAAAATTTGTGCAAGATAAGCACATTAAAGTGACCAGTAATGCAGTAAATGTTGATACTGAAATTTGCTTCACCTCGAACTGCTATTTCAGTCTGTCTTGTAGACTCAGAAAACAAACTGTCAAGTTCATATATGGTATATTGTTTTAAAGGTTTTTGTTGTTAACCACAGTTGTATCTACACTAGATTTTCCCTACAATTTCTCAAGGTTGCTAACACAAGTACTTATAACATAGGCAAGGTACTGGATCAGTAGAGCCCCGTGTGGATACAAATGTATATCCGCGGATACAGATATCCGTGGATATAAATTGGTATCTGCAGAACCTCAGGGCTCTCCTGGGAACCACAGTGGCAAAAGGAGCAGAACACGGGGCTGCTGCTCCAGAAGCCAGCGCCTTTCGCTGGCAGCTCCTCCGGTGAGGCTATACTGCCCAACCTGGCCCCCATCCCTTCCATGCAGCTGTCTGCGTCTCCTGTCTGGGGACATGCACAGCACCTGAACACAAGAGCATGACCAGGGACAACTGCTGGTGGGCCCGATTCCCGCCCCAATGGACAAGGTTGGGGGCGGTACAGCCACACCGGAGAAGCTGCCAGCGTGGGGCACTAGCTGCTGGGAGCAGCGGCCCCATGTTCTGCTCCTGTTTCCGCTGCGGTCCCCAGGAGCCCCTGCGGTTACTGATTTATATCCGCGGATATCTGCATCTACGGATATAAATTTGTATCCGCACAGGGCTCTATGGATCAAAGCAGGCACAGATAATGTTGTAGTAAAATTGAAGTGGTCACTGTCCCCTTGTCTACCCTACATCTCCCACCATTGCTATTAGTGGTAGAGACAGCTGCACAGTGGTACTGACAGTGGAGAGTTTTAGGGAAAGAAGTCAAGTGTAGACAATTTGCAAGGGAAACCTTAAAACCAACCAACCAACCAACCTTGAATTTATTCTATAACACAGCTTTGCCGCAAATTTAGTACTTGTGGAATACACAGTGCTCTGAATATACCCATTTATTAAGCCTATTTCTGTAACTAAAAATATATATTCCAGATTCTCAAGTAAATGGAAATGCAATTCTAAAGTTTTGGTATATTATAGGATTTATTCTTGAGTTCTACCTATGAAGAACTATATTAAGGTAATTCTTGCTTAATTGAAGAAACGAGATCTCATTTGATCTCTCAGGGACAGTATTAGCTTTGATCCTTACAGCAACCCAATGACTAGTACCAAGAGTTACAACAGAAAGGAAGGAAACCCTACCAAAGAAGTTAGGGAAGTTAGGAAGGTGCCTACTCAGTATCATCCTTCCACCTTTGATGGCCTTTGACTTCTCATTCTGGGCCCCACCTTTTCCATCAACACTACCCTCGCCCTACCTTAAAACACAAGCATTGGGCTTAGTTGTGTCTGCATTCAACAATTCACTGCATTTTGCTGAAGCATACCAACTCTTCAATGTTGAGTGCCTTAAACCCATTTTGTACAATCACACATGCTTCAGTATTCTGAAAGCACCATACTCCATGGGACACAACCATTTAATGAAGAAGTGGATCATCCTAGTTCAGAAATAGTCGGGACTACAAATACATCTTTTAAGATAGAAAGCAGCATTCAACCACCTATCTCAGAATTACCTCAAATTGCCACCTGCCCCATTCTCACTCTACACTAAGTCTGCATAGGTTAAAACAAAACCAATAATTGACTAAGCTTAGCTTCAAAGATCCAGGTTAGTAGCACTAGCTTGCTTTTCTTATATGCAATCCATAAACCCTCACTCCCTTTCCACAGAGCTATTAAAAAGAAGAAACAAACATACCAGACTCCTCTGGAGTGTGTACCTCAGAGCCTTCTGCTTTAGCACATGATGGTGTAAGATCAGTCTTGTGAGCAGCAGATAAAGATGGACTTTTTTGATTTTCATTTACTGGAGTTCTAAACATCTCAGTCATTCCTATTAATTATGTTTAAAGTAATTAGCATATGCTTTGATTTACAAAACAGTTATACAGTGGCAGAACAAAGAATAAAATAAAGCATTGTGACTTAGTCCCTTTCTTCAAATAGTACACCACACAATGTACATTTAAGGGCAGATAATCATACGTCTACGCCTTTGTTTCACAGTAGAGGCGTTATAACAGGAGGTAGGTGGTATAATATGTTAATACACTGATTGTTCGAGTCACCTCTGGAAATATGTTATGTCATAAATGAAAGTCAGGTTAGTAGTTTCATCCCAGATTGAAAAAAAGACTAATTTCCCTGATTTAAAAAACACAAATCTAGAACAATAAGGATGTAGTACAGCAGAACTGAGTAGTAGAAATTGTCTGCAAAATACCAAGTACATGTGTAAGCACTGCACAACAGGTGTGTGTGTGTGAGTCAAACTCAATTCAAGAGTTATTGATACTTCACTGTGAGAAGTTCTATATTAACCACAAAGAGAAAGTGGACACACAGCATTTTATACAGCAAGACATCCAAATAGAATGTAAAGTTTAACATTTTTCTGCTGTTAGCTACACATCCTGCTTTTAAACTTTTCACCACATTCATTTTAAATAAATTGAACATAATTCTTTTTATTTGTAAAACAATGAAACGCTACTATACTAAACTACATATAAGCTTTATCTAGAGACATACTTTACTGATGCATCAACGTATGATGGCCTAATTTGTATGCACAATTGTGCTCCAGATATAGAGAAAGCACACATGCTGGGATGATTTAGTTAGTGTTGGTCTTGCTTTGAGCAGGGGATTGGACTAGATGACCTCCTGAGGTCTCTTCCAACCCTAATATTCTATGATTCTATGCACGTATGGAACATCACAAATTGAAATAATTACAACTATACATTAAAATAATATTTGATTGAGACACCACTCAAATAACATTTACACTGCAGCAGCTGTCAGATGCCAAAAATTGTGCGAGGCACTGCACAAAGATAGTACATGAAAGTCCATCTCCAAAGAACTTACTATCTAGACACCAAGACATAACAGGTACATATTTAAAAAAAAAAAAAAAAAAAAAAAAGATCCCAGTTGGAGAGGAAGTAAGAGGATAGATTAACAAAATAAAATGTTTTAGTACTGATTGGCTAAAAATTATACTAATCAGTAGCAGCAATCACAGCTTACTACTAACCAGTTATTATATAGCAGTTTTCAGTACTCATTACTAAGGCTGCGAGTCTGTCATGGAAGTCACGGATTCTGTGACTTTTCGAGACCTCTGGGACTTCTGCAGCAGCCGGTGTGTCTGGCCACCGCCCTCCACAGCGGGGATCTTGGGTCACCATGCGCCTCCCCTCCCCACAGCAGCGGGGGGGTCCCAGACCACCCCCCCAGCAGCATCAGCAGGGGTCCTGGGCCACGCACCACCACCTGCTACCCCAGAGCACCCAAGATTTAGTCAGAGTTATTTAGCACAAATCATGGACAGGTCACTGGCCATGAATTTTTGTTTACTGCCAGTGACCTGTTGATGACTTTTACTAAAAATACCGGTGACTAAAATGTAGCCTTACTCATTATAATATAGGTGAGATTTAAGACACTTAAGAGAAAGTGGTAGTTTTACAGATTTGACTGGCAGTATTTCCCATTTGCAAGTGCAGTATGGGAGAAAGCATAAAGGCACTAGTGTAAAGAAAGTAGAAAACCAGGCAACGGAGACTCTAGCATCATTGGTGAAGTTAAGAGAGCAGTCAACCTTGGGTTAAGAAGGAGAGATACTGCAGAGCTTAACTGTGTTCAGCTTTGAAGGTTAGAACATGAAGTTTGTATTTGATGTAGCAGAAGAGGGGGAAAACAATGGAGGGACCTAGAAGGTAGTGACATAGACAGTGATGAACTTGACAAAGTTCGCTCATTTTTAAGAAGTTGAAATTAAATACAAACCCTCCTAATACAAGGTTCAAGTTGAGATTTTAAACTCAAGGCCAAAAAAAAATTGAAGTTATGGTCCCCGCAGTACATAAAGGTATTTTCTACTATGTAACGGAGATTAACATGTTCCAAGTTACACAATATACTGTATTAAGTAGAAACTGCTTTTATCAACCAACATGAAGTGAAATAAGGCAAGAATTATGTGGCTTAATTTAAAAAAGTGTGCAAATTACCTGTGAAGCTTTCATTTATATCCATGTTTTGTTTCAAAGCACAATTCTTCACCACTCTAGGGGCCTGTCCAACCAGCTTCACTGTGGTAGTATGAGCTTTTCCTATCACTATGGTAGCTGGAGAATCTGCATGACCTGTACTAAAATGACCCTTTACTTTTCTTGCTGGAGTCTGTAGAAAGAAAAACAGAGTTGCTCAGTAAATGAGAATTTATTGTAATGACCAGAACAGTGTAAGATCCACACACAAACCTGTACCAGTGTTACTGAAATTTTAAGTCTGTTTAGTTGAACTGGTGCAAACCTTAGACTGGTTTACATTTAAAAATTGATTTTAGTTAAATCAGTGTACATTTGTTCACAGATCAGACCAAAGTCAGAACCAATGTGCATTTTTTAAAAAAATGGATTTTTAGTTTAAGTTGGCTTTTTTAATTAAATGAAATTCGGGTTTATTTTTCAAAATAAACCTAGAACTGGGTTTGTTGATGTACTAAACCAGCTCTTGATATCAGTTGTCTCTTCTGCAGACAGAGAGAGAATGTTTTCTTCACTTCAGTTCAATGAATAGTTCATGCAAAGCTAAGAAACCAATTGGGAGATGAAAAAAGCAGGAAAACTTCTTTTCCTCTTCCAAGCTACGAATAAAAACTTGGTGTGAGTGGGTGATATTGAAGCACACAATGACCAGAATCAATCAGTTCAATTCACTAACTATAGATAATAATTTATCAGTTAGTTTTAAATGCAAAACATGTTTTTACAAAACTCTTTTCTTATCTATTCCAGCACGTTAAAGGTAGTTATACTGAACTTCTAAAAACAATTTTAAAATATGGGTTTTGTGCATTTTTAATTGAATTTCCGTCCAAGCAGAGCTTGACATATCACAAGTATTCTTGAAATACAGTGTAAAGCAGCAGTTCTCAACTCATGGCTCGCATGTGGCCCAATTAGCATACAACTGCGGCCCTGTGTGCTAACGGCTACGGGTATGTCCGGGGGCCTGGGTTCCCAGCTGCCCGGGAGGGGGAGGGGGTCTGGGCTGCCCCGCCACCTAGCATTGGGGTGGGTGGGGTGTAGGGCTCCCATGGGGCCCCACAGTCCCCAAGGTCAGGACAGCTGTTGGGCCCCATGGGCCTGGGCAGACATGCAGCAGGGGACTGGGATGGGCAGCTGGCTTGCTCCACATAGCGGGGGTCCTGGGATCTGGGGTAGCCAGCTGGCCCTGTGGGAACCTGGGGACACCAGCCCGCCCTGCAGGCTCTGGGCCTGCCCCGCGTGGCAGGTGTCCTGGGGTCGGGCAGCCGCATGGCAGGGGACAGGGTTCCAGGGTGGTGGCAACTGGCCGGGGCAGCAGCCTGCATGGCAGGGGTCTGGGGTTCAGGGTCTCAGCTGCCTCTGCCCTGACAGGTTACACATTCTAGGCCACATATGCATCCCACAATGTGTAATATGCTGAGAAACACTGGTGTAAAGGCTACATCTAATTGAAAATCAATGTGTTTTATTGGTTACAAAGCAATGAAAAAAAATAAACCGTTCTTTAGGAAAGTAATTAAGAAATACAAATAAAGATTAAAATAAATTATTGAAATAAATATTTCCTGCTTGCTGATTTCAATCCCCTTGATTTAAACCATTCCGCTCTAGTCAGCAGTATAAAATGCGTATTTGCTATCAAAAGCTATCACAAAGCTTTTTAAGATTAAAACAAATTTTTGTAAGACTCTATTTTCATTTTTCTGCTATAATTGTTTCTTTTATTTCCCCTCATGTGTTAAGTTTGGGAAATGGGGAGTGTGACAGATTCAGACCAGAAGAATGTAAGAGAGTGCTGGAAGGCAGGTATATCAGCCTTCAGAATGAGCAGGGCCTTGTTCCCTGGATAGCCAAACAAAGGCTACTCCAGGCCAATTAAGACACCTGATGCTAATTAACCAGTTAAGGCCGTTAGGCTAATGGAGACAGCTGGAACCAATCAAGGTCCCACTTACACTGTTTAAAAGCTCTCCTTCCAGTACCCTCTAGGAGGTGGATGAGAAGAAGCATTGCTAAAACCTGAGGTAAGGGTGATGCTAGGAAAAGGGGACCATGGGAGGAATAGCCCAGGGAATCAAAGCGGTGTCAGTGTTGAAGGAAAAAGCCACCAACAACTGCTACCATTAGGGTCCCTGGGCTGGAACCTGGAGTAGAGGACAGGTTCTCCTCCCCCCCCCCCACACACACACTCTACAGAGATCCCCTGGAGAAGGGAAGCAGGACTCGGTCCAGGCAGGAGGCTGAACTGTGCCTACTGAGCTCTATGGAGCAACAGAGACTGTGGGGTATTCCCCCTTCCCCATCTCCCATACTGGCTGGTGATGAAAGTAACTCAATAGGCTGTGACTCTTGCTGCTATACTGAGAAAGGAAGGTCACGTTGGGGCCTTATCGAGTTTCTGAGGCCACTGAAACTGCCCAGAAGCGTGGGACCCACCAATACAGGCTCGGGACTTTGTCACAGGAGGAAGAGGGAAAAATTTACTCTTTCAATGTTTTGGCACCCAGAATGGGAGAAACATTTAATGGTGACCTCAAACGTAAAATTTGGCTAGAAATAGGTCAAAGAGCAATGCCTATGTACTAAAGGTAATCAACTTCTAGCAAACTCTGCATACAACAATTTAAGAACTCAAAGTTCTGAATAAATCAACATTTTCTACTGCTTGTTATAATCAATTTCTTACAGAATACAAGTTAAGCTGCCTCCCTCTTTTTCCCCTCCTGGCCCTGCAGTTGTGACAACCTTCCTTTCTGATGACAGCCCAATAACCCAGATTTAGACAAAGGCTCCCCGTTTCTGTGGGCACAAAAAACCAAATTCTGGAAATCAAACTGTGTTTACAACATGCTACTGCAGAACACTAACACAGAACTACTCTAATTAACTGAAGGAAAATTTTCTAAATATTATAACAAAATTAAAATTTATTAGAAATTCACACAGTTTTAATTTTACTAATAAAAGTAAAATTGATTATCCATTCAACACACTGCAGTGGATTAATTAGCCCTTCCACATATACCCCCCTCAATGATAGCTGATGTCTGCTGGATGAATACAAACTAAAGTATTATATGAATACCAACTAAGGAAGAAGGACAAGAACAGAAATACCGCTGTTGTCCTGTACCACTGTAAGCAGCAAATAAAGGGAAGTTTTATCTTGAAAGGTGGGTAAACCAAACACTTTGCTTAACCTGAGGAAAGATCAGGTCCTTAAAATATGGCAGAAAACAACATATTCTAGTCTTTGTACAACTGAATAGGCAGAAAAACAGAAGCAACAGTACTTTCTTTACTAAGGTACGCAATTTTAACAGAAATTGCTTTGTAATATGAACTAATTGTGACAAGAGCTGTATATCAGTCCAGAAACACTTGCGTTTCCAATGGACTTTTAATAAACAAAGCATCTCACCCTTCACTACATGTGGTTACTTCACATCAGCAAATTTGATTAGAGATGAATTCATATCAAATAAACAATTACACCAGAGAAGTAGCAAACACAGGACTAAATTTCAAAGAACCTTAGACAAGTTAGAGCAATGAACACCTAAGGTTTTATGGTACTAAAAACTTTAAAGTCCTACATTTCCAGTTTGTTGATACAGGAAAATATAAAACTAGGTGTGTGAAGATGATCCACAAGACCTTTATCTTCAGAAATGGCTCACATTATAATTTTGAGATCACTGATAACCTTGTCTCTTACACTAGTTCTGCTGAATGATACTATATCTCACTGTGGATATCAAAATATTTTAAAGGTACACATTCTTTAGTTTCAATTAAATCCTGTATTTAATATATCAATACAATGAAAAATGGTGCAAATTTGGCCCTGTCCTTTCACTAATCAAGAAAGAATGTTTGGAATCTAGCACATTTAGAGTCATCCAGGAGATGTATATCAGTGCTCAAAGGCTATTTGGCGGACAAGGAAGATTTTGAAACACACCTAGCTACTAACAATGTACTAAAAGCCGATGAGGCTATGCATTCAGAAAATAGTATGGTTTATTTTAAATAAAAATACCTTGGGTGATTTTGTTAACTTCTTGGCTGATTTTCCTTTGAGAACACATTTTTTAACAGCTTTTACTTGCGGTCTTGCAACACCCAACTTCACCACTTCTGCCCAAGATTTTGCAACTGGAAAGCAAAAAAAAAAAAGATTGAGAACAGTTCTCAAGGTGCAAACAGCAGTCCAGAGTTATTTCCTCATAATTCCCATATTTAAATTACATTTGCTATGGAACTTGGCTCAGGAGATTGGTAATTACAGGTGGAGGTGGCAATAACACTTAGACTTGAGGTTGTATAACACTTTCCATTGTAAGGCCCTATTTTCAGTTGCTTATATCTTTGCAAAACTTTAATCATTTGAATTTTTTTTTATGACACGTATGCCTCACGCTGAGATATACGTTTCAGTAAAAGTGGTTTAGTCATTTCCAAGAACAAGGACAGGGAAAAATAGACCTTTTACATTTTTATGCTTATTCCACAGACAAACTCTAGTCTCTATGGTTCGGAGCAAGGACTTGAAATTTGGCAGAGATCCAAGGTGCCAGCTGCTGGTTCTTGTGAAAATCCACCCGATTTTGGCAGAATTATAGGCTTCTGATAATTGCTATTGGCACACACATGCTCAGAGGTTTATTAGAGGTAGGCAACAAAATTAACCAAAGACTTCATCTACATTGGGTATGGCTGTCTCCATCAAGCCCTGTGCCAGCCACACTGAGCATGCTCCTGACCAGGACTGAGCAAAATATTCTACAATTGCTCCTCTAGAGATAATAGCCAGAAAGGGAACAGGAAAGGTAAGGACAGACAGGAGCAAAGTGGGAACAGAACAAGATACAAGGATAGGAGCAGAGGGAGAAGACCGGTAAGGATAAGAGCAGAAAGATCTACAGCAGGGTTTATCGACCTATGGATCTGGACCCAAAATTGGGTCACCACAATGGCAACTCCTGTCCCACAGGGTTGTTTGGGCTAGGTGAGCTGCTCCAGGCACTGCAACCTCTGGGGTCCCAGTATCATGATGACAAGACTCTGGATAGGCCAAATCTGAGTGGGTGGCACTGCCACCTCATGAGCCTGGTTGCAACTCCATTCACACAAATTTGATCCAGTTATGGGAGTGGGGTGAACCTAAGCAGCACTGCAACACTAGAGAATGCCATGCCCAGAGTCATGAGCCAAGCCCAGCCAGCCCACAGCTCAGGAGCTGCCATTGTGAGTGCTGGGCAGGTCCCAACCGAAACCACCCCAGGTCTCCACCCTAGACTATTTATTGGGTTGCAACAGACCATACACATCTATAAATGGGTCCTGTGCTCAAAAAGATTGAGAACTACTGGTTTATACTACCACTACAGCACACACTTCTCCATAACCTGGGGGCAGTGGGAGGAGGGTGAAGAGAGGAAAGGAAGAGACAGGATATCCAAACGGCCAAGTTCCTCTGTCAGCAAATAGCTGCAAAATCCACTGGCAAGGTGTATATCCTCTGCATCTAGTGTCTGGCTCACAAAAGATAACTGTCTACTCCTACTACCAGTTACTATTAGCTCTGCTGGTTAAGGTCTGTACTGGGTATCTAAAAGTTCCGATTATGATGCTGATCCAGGGGGCTGGAAGGGGAATATGATTCCAAAAGATGGAATTTATCTTTTCAGTTTGCATTTTTAAAAAGCTGATTAAATTACATTTAAAACTATTTCTAAAGAATTATTAGATTACAAAATCAAGCAATAAAAAGTTGGGGACTTCCAGACATAAGATTTTCCATGCACTCTTAATTCAGTCCATTTGGTATATGTATTATGATAGTTATTAATTACATGTTCATAACTATTTAACTCTCTTCCCCCCCACCCCACAAAGGACTCCTGTAGACAACTGATTAACTCCTTGAGCACCATTCATCCTATGCACAGAATGATGCAGGACACCTGCCTCATTTGTTGCAGAAGTTGTAAGTATGTAGTGACCCAAGCAGGGGGACTGCAGGAACAGAAAGGATGTTCTTGTGGTTACAAGATAACTGAATGTCACCTTGGTGAAATGGATTCTATTCTAAGGCTAACACAATGCAGGGGAGTAATGAAGTGATTTTACCTCTGATGATACAGATACTAGAATACTGCTACAGTTCCAATGTCCACATTTTACAAAGGATCTTAAAAAATTTGAGAGTAGACACACAAAGCCACAAAAATGAAAAAACCTTACAATGAGAGACTCAAAGAGCTCAATACATTTAGTTAATTTAAAAAAAAAAAAAGAAAAGAAAAGAAAAGTTGAGAGATTACTTGATTATACTGCATAAGTACCTTTCACTAGAAGAATACCAGATACCAAAGGGCTCTCATCCAGCAGAGAAATGCATAAGAGCCACTAGTGGCTAGAAGCTGAAGTCAGACAAATTCAAGGCACAAATTTTACTAGTGAGGGTTATGAACCATTGGAATGAACTACCAAAGAAAATGGTGGTTTCTCCAACTCCAATCTGGATGCCTTTCTGGATGTTATGCTTTAGTCAAACAAGTTATTCGGCTTAATACAGAGATAACTGGGTGAAATGTAATGGCCTGTTATATACAGGAGGGCAAACTAGATAATCTAATGATCCTTTCCAGTCTTAAACTCTTCAAAGCTATATTCAGTGCAAGGTTTGGATGTACAGAAAATAACACATAGCATCACATACTGAATGATGAGGATAAAATTCATCCTGTGCACTGAAAAAGGTAGGGGTTAGGAATGTAAATATTGGTTAAAGTTAACTGGTTAAACGATTAAAATTATTTTGGTTAACTGAGGTAGCTGGAGGGGGCTGGCATAGCCGGGGCTGGGCTCCCGCTGGCTGGTGTGGCGTAGCTGGGGTCCAACATGGGGCTGCCAGTATTAACAATAAACTTTGGTTAACCGGTAAGCTTAATGCTTACCGGTTAACTGTTTACATCCCTAGTAGGGGTCATGTAGAAAATATAGTATGTGTGATATGTAATTAAAGAATATCATAATGCATATGCATGAATTAATGGCTTCTGTTCAGTTTTTAAAAAAGCACTAATAGTCTCCAAAATCAACTACTTAAACAAACCTAGCAAATTGGCTTTAGAAGCACCACTTCTTCTTTTAGAATGAATTGTTTCCACAGCATCACTCCTCCTCTTCATGGGAGTTCTCTTCGCAGAAAATCTTATACTACGCCTTATTAATTGTTTAGGTGTAGTTGGCACAGACATCTGATGTTCCTGGTTAATATGAAAAGATTCAGGTGTCTTGACTCCAATAAAATCTCTCTCGCTTTCCTTAACTTCTGTTGCAGCAGTACCCTGCTTCTTTGAAGTAGGAGATGGTGTGCTAATGTGAGAAATAGAGAAACGTCCTTTTGTGTATGGTGTATTTGATGGGGAGTTTGCAGTGAGCTTAGGTGACGCTTTTTTAAGGGCAGGCGGCGAGGCAGCCGGGGACCTCCTGGCGGGCGGCGAGGCAGCCGGGGACCTCCTGGCGGGCAAGTTTCTTTGTGATGATTTTTGTCTCTGCAAATGCTCTGAAAGATCCTGATAGGATTAAAAAAAATTTCTCACAAAGTAGAAATACAAATTCTCACCTAATTCTGAAAAGCACATGCTCAATGTATCAAATTAACTGAAACAAGCTTTTACTCATTTAAAATAAAACTTGGAAATTAAAAAGATGTTCAACATTTTCATTTCAAACCAGCTGTAAAAAGGGTAAGAAATGAGAACTGAAGTAAATCATTTATTTCCTAAATGTAAGTTAAAATTTCAGTTTTAAAAAGCTGTTACATTAAGTTTGATACATATCTTTTACTAAACTTAATTCACAGATTGGTGGAAGCAATGGATAAACATTTTCAGGCTACAATTAATTTGTTGTTTTGTAGCTTCAAGCATTTTATTCCTTTAGTCAATTTTCAGTCCAAATTATGATAGTTTCCCAATAAATGTCAATTCCAGTCAATATGTAATTTATAGTAAAAATACAATCTCAAATAAGATACTGATCAGCTGGCCTTCAAACATGGGAGTTCAAAAATACTGAAGAGCTAGCTACACTGGAAATAGCTGTATTTAAATACAGCTATCTAAAGCTGAAGGTACAGTATCTACATTTCCTCATGTATGCCTTTTTGTAATTTTCAAACTCGAAATTTCTATTTTGTTTCCTTGGTAATGTTTAAATTTTCATCTTTAAAGTTTACCTTGATTACGAGACGTTTGAATCCCTGGCCCTTCTTCAGAACTGCACGAGGTGAATTTCCAAATGGTAAGCTTAACCTTGCTGGAATTGCACCTCTTCTAAGTGGTGAATTGGGTGGCAGACTTTTATCAAAAAGTTCAGGACTGAGATGACCACCAAAGGACACTCTCTTTCTTTTCCCAAAAGGCTGATGTAATAACTCAAGTTCTCCACTTTTCCGCTTTTGAGGTAACCTCTTTGTCTCCCCTTTTAAAAATTACAATTGAAAAATTTCTTTATATATGAAGAGTCCAACATTACAGCATATAAATTAGAAATTAATTTTTACTCATTTTAAAGTCTGAAGCACATTTCAAGCCACAATGAGCACAAATCCTTATAACTTAGTTTTTGCACAATTAATTCAGCAGATGTAGTTACATTCACATTTTCTCAAACAATTTCAATGTATTAATTATGGTTAGCCATAATTACATATACAATAGTTAAGGATAGATGTGCAGCAAAAAAACCATTTCTTCACTTACATAAAACATGATAGTCTCTCCCAAATAAATTTAAAATATAGCTCCTAACCATACAAAGTATTTACCTGAATTTTTGTCTTCAGTAGGTAGGCTAGAAATATTGATTTTTGATGCAACTTCATCATCTCTCAGAAGTGCATCACTTTCAGAGCACCTTCTTTTTGATGACAACCTGTGAGGACCCAGTACAATATTAGCATCTTCCACCTCTAATTTCTGTTGGTAGTTCTCTGTGGTCAGCTTTTCTTTAACATCACTACCTTTAATATCTACATTCTTGTCAGGTTCTTGAGATGAATCTCCCTCCAGTGTTTCTTCAGCCATCTTTCCAGAGCTCATTCGTCTTCCCCTTCGCGCTCCAGAGTGATATTTACCACTAGCAGAAGATGCATCTTTCGATGTTAACCTTTCCGGAGTTAATAATTCTGATGATGGACTTTTATTTGAAATTTTTTTACCCTGTCTAACACTCCCTTTGGGGCTTTTGGAATTACTATACCCAGGAGAAAATTCAACAGTTTCAGAATCTCTCTCCTTAGTTATGCTAACAGAGTAAGTCTCATCATGAATTTCTTTTAGCACTTCTTCTGCATTTAAGGATTTTCTTGGTGTAAGCTGTTTACTATTTCTCTTTTGCTTTGAATATTTATTACTTTTCCCCAAAATACATGATTCATTCCCACCAACTCTACTGCACACTACATCTTTCTTTTGAATTTCATTTGAAATTTCTGTTGCTTTAACTCCTAATGATGAATCTTGTCCAGTCCGTGGTTCATCTGAATTTGCAGAACTTATTTCATTGGTCTTCTTAGAACTATTTCCTTCAGTAGAAATCTGATTAAGTTCCACACTGTGTATTTCTTGTTCTTTAACTTCAGACTGTTCAATATCTTCACCAATGATTGCCTCTTTTTCCTTAGTTTGGGTCTCTTGACCAGATGGAAATATCAATAATGAAATTTGCTGGGCATTAGTCTCTGTAGAATAAATAACAGAAGTTATTTTACATCTGGTTAAAGAAATATATTGTAAAGAAAGGCCCTAAATAGCAAGTAAAAGAGAGGCTTTGAAAGTAATGAGTTATATAATGCCAGAAGGAATGAAGTAGGGAGGATATCTGGTTAAAAGAAAAAATAATGAAAAAAGGGTATGTTTCTAAAAAGAAGGCCTCTGCAGATCATTTTAAACAAAAGAGCCAATGTGGACCTTCTATCCCACATACCAGTGTTATCTCAAAAATTAGGGCCCATGATGCAAAGGAAAAACCGTTGGTCAGCAAGGAGGGGAAGAGATAGGGAGGAAAGACCTGGGGGGCAGAGGGGAAGGAAGTTTTAAATCTCATCAAGATTAAGATTGGAAATAAAGGCGAACTGTCTCAAATTGGTGTTTAGCTGAAGTCTGTAATTGGGAATGACATGACTTGTTTGTTAAAGAGTATTAAAAAAAGTAAAACTCTGCTAATACCTGCCTGATAATGTTGGAGCTGACAAATGAGTCTCAGCACCCCTGGATTTAGCCCGTTTGAAGAAATGCTTATGAATGTTTTGTTACTCTTTGGATATAGTAAATTGCTTATTTAGGCTTTGTAGGCCCATTTAGAGCAATTGTATAAATTCCATTTGGCCTTTGGATTTAATAAAGGAATCTATGGTTAAATTAGTGTTGTTCTAATATCCTGCATAAATAATAACTCCTACAGTGGCCATCAACATTATATCACCATCCTCTCTTTAAAAAAAAAAAAAAAAATCACCTGCTTGTCGTGGCATAGGTATCTCGTCGTTGCCATCTTTCTGTGTTTTCACATCGATCTCATTTTTCAACAATTCATAAAGTTTGCTAAAAGGAGACATCTCATTTTCTCTTCTGTTAGATTTAGCTGTTCTGTATGTTGATTTAGGTGTTGCATGTTGTTTGGCTGGTACAACTCTGGAAATATCTTCCTCAGTGCTTTGCTTGTCATTTTCACCAAAATTTTGGCCTTCACATTCTATGATTTTATCTAGATAGTAATAAAGGGTAAAAAGAACCTTACACATATATATATTTTAAAACTGGAGGACTGTTATTAAATGGGTAGAAAAACAGGTTTTCTCCTTCAACAAGATTTGCACTTTTGAATAAAGAGGCAGCAACACCAATCAGGGTTAGCCGCTGAGATAAAATATCAGCACTAAAGTTTTGCCCACTAGTCAAGCTCTGTTCACAATCCTATTTGAATTTTTGTAATACATTCATCAGTAGTTAAATTGTTTATGTTGATATTTAAATTGTATTTAGACCTTGAATTAGCCCCACATTGAGAAACAGTAGGTCATATCTCAGAAATATTGTCTATCTGCAGAATCAATAACTGCATCACTATGGTTCACACAGGCCTCTTAGGGTTTTGTATACATTAGATAGGTGAATGGATGCTAATTTCAAATCAGTTGGATGAATCTGATTGTTAAAACTCCAAATAAGTTTGTTTAAACTGATACAGAACTACCACAGTAAATTAACCAGTTTTGCCTGGCATCTACATTGATTCTGTGATGCATGATTGTGGCAACTGCCATTGGGGTCCTTCCCCTTGTCTCAGCATTGCTTGAGGCCAGCTTGGATCGCTGCTGACAAATGCTGGACTTCCCTGCTGTGATTGGACAAGTTCCTCACCCCACAGAAAAATGATGGTCCAGGATCTCTCAAAGGACCATGCTGAAGTATATAACAGCTTCTCTATAAAATCTTTTTTTGTGGGGAGAAAAAAGCACATTTTGCAATGAAAATAGCTCAAACTGAGCTCTGTGCAGAATGTACTATAGAATTATTGTGGACAAGATGATCCCTAGACTGTGGACTATGAAAACAGGTGGTGGTATGAAGAGACAGGACGCTTCAGGAGAGATTATTGCATTATGGGTCAGAAGTGGGAAGACCTTTTGTGGTGACAGTGTTACCATGATAGCGGGATGTGTCCACAATAGGTACTTAATCTATTGTGCTAACACCAGTTGAGACTGGATACTGGGATAACTTGCAATGATTGACCCTCACTGAAAAACCCATTGTAGCAAATCTGTGTGGATGAATGGAGACTTTCCACTGACCAAGTACATCAGTCAACTGGTCCTAGTATAGACAAAGCCTCAATTTCTCCATCTACTGCTGGTAAGAAAAGGTAGCAATGCTAGCACAGATTTTGAATCACTGTATTCTCTAGACTTGCTCAGGGTTAAATACTAGTGTAGAAAGCCCACAGTACCTCTGCATTTGCACTATACTAGTGGAGCTGCACTTGTGGCAGAGAATTTAAGAAAAAGCCTAGAGTACACATAGACTTGTAGGCTAAAATGTGCAGTTCTACTCCAAAAAGCAACTATAAATGGCATCTTTGGAATCGATGGATCCGTTTCCTGGGTGCATCCAAAAGTTGGAACTTTATAATCCATTTTCTTTTTTAAATGTTCTCTTCGTATTAGCACTCAAGAGCAGATATAACATTTGCTGTGGAGAGTAATGATTCTTTTGTACCTCAGACATCAACTGAATTAGTGAAATTTTAATTGCAGTCGTTAATTTTTGTCCTCAATTATACTTATTTAATGCCTCTAAAAAGCAGAATTTGGTCTGCAAAATCTAATTATCTATTCAGTAACATTAAAATAAAAAGGAAAGGAGTACTTGTGGCACCATAGAGACTAACAAATTTATTTGAGCATAAGCTTTCGTGAGTACAGCTCACTTCATCGGATGCACTTATGCTCAAATAAATTTATTAGTCTCTAAGGTGCCACAAGTACTCCTTTTCTTTTTGCGAATACAGACTAACACAGCTGCTACTCTGAAACCTATTAAAATAAAGTTCAACTGAAGTAACAGGTTGACTTGTAAAATGAATCTTTTGACATTTTCCCATCTTCTTTTTGCAAGCATGCTAAGAATAAAATGTGACTATATAATATTGAAAAAAGCAAACTACATGAAACAACTACCAACCAGAGGTCTGAGGACTTTTAGATCTTGGGCTCTGTAATTCCACTTCTGCCACCTGCTGAACATGAAGAACCTGTAAATTTGTACAGTGTTACGATAAAGCAACATATTTTATCACAAATACAGTTTTCTACTCCACATTTTCAGAAGATTACAGAATTTGGCCCCTCTTCATAACCAAGACAAATTTTAATTGAGCACCAGGCTTACAAAAATTTAAATCCATGCATTATATGAAATTGCACAGTATTTGAAGTTGGTCACACAGGTTACTACTTGAGTAAGACATCTGAGGCTCCTGAAGACAGTTTTATAGTTTCTTATTTTTTGGAATAGTCATTAATTCCAAAAGAATCTGTAGCCTGAGCATGCATTACAGCTAAATTCTGATAATTAAACCAAACTGAGATGATATGCTTATTAGACTTCAGGACAGCCTGCTCATCAATATAATAAGAGGCCAGGATTGTCACCGTAAAGCCTGGAATGTCTGTTGAGCCAGCGTGAAGCACCGGAAACAACTACAAGCATGATTGAGAGTTCTTTGTTTAGAATATCAGGTTCAATCATCACTGGCATTTGTGGTGTGTTACAATCCAGTTTAAGTTCTCAGTAATTTTGACTTCTTGAATTACATCTGTGCAACAGCACAAGCTTTCAGCTACAGTGGGCATCTACTTATCCCATGCTAAAGTCCTAGATCATTGTGATATCAGAGGTAACAATCACCACCCTTATTCCGCAGCTAATTTGCATGCAACTATTTCATTAGTTATACGCAGGACACTGCACAGACGATGGATTACTTGGCTCAAGTACCTCACCTATAAGACAATATGGGCTTTCAGCTACTAGTTTAAATATAAGAATTGCAGCCTACATAAGTGTTTCAATGTTCATGACAATCTGCTGATTAACAATACTCCTACAAGATACTCATTTCAACAAGTATATTGATAAGATGGGCAAAAGACTGTAAAAGAAAAGGTTAACAAAACCTGCTAGTCATGAAGATAAAATTTAAAATTTTATGCTTTGATCAATCTTTAGAGAGACTTAAACATTACTTTAATGTAATGGGCACATGGAATAACAATCACAGATTATTTTCTAAAAAGAGGCTGCTCACAGTCTTGAGGACAAGCTTCCCAGTTTGTGCTTACTTAACTCCTTTAGATTGTCATTGGCCAGAAAGATGGAGACACGTCATTAACAACACTGCATTACTCATTACTGCTATTCAGAATAAGATTATATTGGAAGCAGGACACTAGAAATACTTTGACGCAGGGACGTACAGCTATGATTTACTCCTGTAATTCTTTAAAATGTAAAAATTAAGGTACAAGGATCTCAAATGTCTCAATACCCCTGTACCCATCCTCTCTTAAAACAGCCAAACTGTTTTTAAAAAATAATCCTTAGTTCTGCTGATAACAGTTTAGAATATTATAATTAAATATTTACATTGCTGAAAACTGACATAAGCCGATATGAATTAGTAAATAGTAAGAAAACAATATTTCTCAAGAGTTTCTTCACAGCTTCAATCACTGGATTAGTGTGTGATGCCAAGCTAATAGGAAGGGGAAGATAAATCACTGAACCAATACTAATATGACATGACAGATGACACCATGCATATGTTCAGCAAATGTAGTCAGTGGCCTTAAAATTACCTGTAGGGTTTCATTTTTTGGAGTTCTAGAAAGTCTCTTTCTTGGCGTTGATTGAGGCAGATATTCAAACCTGAAAAAAATTTAATAGAAGAAAACAACCTCTTTGCTTATGTTACATTTATGATGGCTAACTGTAAAACTTACATAAACCCTTACTTAAACTCTGTAGTAATTGTCCCCTTCCAGCAATAATACCATTATTTAACTGGTTATAAATTGCACCGAGGCATAGTTGTGAATTTTTCTCCAAAAGTCTGTTGTAATAATTGAGCCTACAAATCTACCCTAATTGTGAGCTCAACTGTAAAAAGTATGTGAAAGTTCATAAGATATCACAATAACCTATAAGAACAATAGTTCATGGGAAAAGGCATAAAAAGGAGACAGACTGAATTAATGCAAACAAAAAGGCCTACTGATATAACTCAAGGACCGTGTTAAGATCAAGCTTGGTAAACATGAGAAATCTGAACCAAAATTGGTACATCAGAAACTAGGCCTAATTGTTGGACAAAATAATGCAGGAAGAGCTATTCGACCCACCGCTACTTTTTTGGGGTCCTTAAAGAAAGAAATTTTGGAGAAAAAATTGGCTAGTGGAGCAAGCTTCGTATCATGGTTGTCACCCCGCCATCTCCTGCGACCCTAAGCCTTCATCATTCTGATCCTGAGAGATGTCCTGATCAGACCAGGCCAGAGAAAGGGAACCAGATGATATCACCACCTCTGCCAGCTCGTCAAATCCCAACTACCCCCTGAGATGGAACACAATTAGACTTTAACAACAGCAGCAACAGCTCTCAACTAACTTCTTTTTTCCCCTCAAAGGACAATTATTACAATTTAAGTCTGAGAGATGTCAAACAAGGGGGATTTTCCTGCTAAAATTTCTCTCCAGCTAAAGGGAAAAAGGGATGTTTTTAAAATGAAAGCCTTACTTAGTAGTCTACATTTCAAAGTGTTTCAACTTTTTTTCCCTTCATTTCTTTATCTTAATAAAAGGTTAAAACGATTTTTAATGGTGTGTTTGCCATGGTACTAAGCAGGCTGTGGTCTCTATATACCAAACTCCAAACCTTGTTGAACACGGTTTAATGTTGGACAGTGACGGCATTACAACAACACCTTTTACCCTTTAGCCCAGATATTCCATCTGAATTAATACAACACATCTAACCTTAGGAGAAAGTCACACCAAGATATCAAGACAATACTGTCATGAATAGCTTATTGGTAAATAGTTTAAAGGTGACATAATGCTTTAACAGCTCAGCTTTCTGATCATACTATGCAGAAACTCTTTAAGGAAATATGAAGCATGAAATTAAATTAAAATTTATTTTAGGGAGTAAGAAGAAAATGTGTCAACCTCAGATTAAACCTCTGTCTCTGATCCCACAATGAGATGTGGGTAGGTGGACCCCTATGTCCTTAGGGAGCACCACTGAAATCAATGGAGCTCCTTGGAGATGTAAGAGTGTGCTTTTTCAGATTTCAATGCAGAATCAGTGTCATAGTTGCTTGCCTCCTTCATTGCTACTGACCTGAAAGAACGATCAACAATAGTGAACACATCTCCATGCTTCAGATGTGCAGGTTGCTGAAAACTGTTACCATTCAATTGCGTTGGATTTACAGTACTTAAATTAATCAAGATTGCCTACAAATGAAACAAAAATAGCTAGTTCAGTAACCTGAAGAAATGCAGTGATGGAATATAATACAATTAAAAACAAAACTTACCTCCTTGTTCTCATTGACTTCAATTTTACAATGTTCTTTTGAGACTTGAGGCAGCTGTATGCGGATATCGCACTCTGTTTTCCTTTGGTTGAAAAGCACAACTTTAGTTTTAAGCAAGTAATTAAGAGAACAGAAGAACTTTATTTTAGAGAATTTGCTTCTGAATACATGATCATTTAATATCTGCAAAAATGTTATGATGCTGTTTGAAAATGCAATATAAAAATATTTAAAGTCAGCACAAGCACTGAGAAAACCTAAAGCAAATTTTAAACTAAATATACACTATTAAAATGTACAGCTTCTTAAACTAAGAACTAGCTGGATATGTCCACCAGCTGCACGTACAAAGACAATTTTGAAAAATCTTTCACTACTGCACAAGCACTGTTGCAGTACCGCTATTGCTAGCAACAGTGGAAAGTTTCCCAAAAATCAAAGACAAAATAACTAAGTCACAGAAGATTTCTCTCTCCCACAAATGTTGCTTTTCAATCAGATATTTACTCTAGCTTAACAGCTTTAGTGAATGATATTCTGTTAGGTATTTATCCACGCATATCCCTACATTATCAGAGTATTCCTTTCAGATTACAGGATTCACATCATTAGTACTTAATTCCTGGCTGCAATACAAGAGAAAAGAAAGCACTGGCAAAACTGCTTAGGTACTTTTAGGGTATTGTGTTTGGTTTTGGTGCTAACATCTAAAGCAGCCAAAGAACCAGTCCTGAAATTTAAAAGGACAGAAAAAAATAGAGGAAGCAGAGAAAGAAACATGAAATCTAAGGATTGCAAGTAAGAAATGCATTTATCTATTCTGGCTCATATCATCAGAATTATTTACTAAATTCCAGTTGCATGGCCAAATTTGAAGTCAGAGGCAAACTTAGGCCTACAAAATCTTTCTTGCTGCTAATATGTGCAACACAAAGAACACAACTTAACTTTCAGATCCCAGATTGAGTTTGGAGTCATGACAGATTTACCTATGTATATTTGGTAGAAACTAAATATTAGGGAACTTTAAAATTGCAGGCCCTCATCTTAGAATTGGATCAGTGCAGACACATGAACAGCCCCACTGAAACCAATGGGGTCTACGTGAACAGAGGAGTCCTATAGTGGATTTGACTGCAGGATTGGGGTCTTATATAAGGCTCCCAGCCATGGCATTTAGTGTATGTTTACATTGCAATAAAAGATCCCACTGCCCAGCAGCAGCTGGCCTGAGTCAGCTGACACAGGCTTTTGGGGCTATAAAATTGCAGTGTAGACGATCAGGGCCATGAAGGGGGGAGGGTTTCAGAGAACAGGATCCAGCTAGCTGTACCCTGTCTACTATATCAATTTCCCCTTCCAGTATAAAATAAAAAGTGTTACATTCAAAACTCAAATTTTAATATTTGTTTGGTGCTCTAATATTCAAATACACAAACCTATGTTTGTTTCACTTTTTCTTTGAGTAACATTCAAAAAATTCATATACTGTATTAAACAATTTATCAACTTTTAAGAAAATTTGTGTTAGTTCTAAGGTCAGCTCAACTTCTGTTCACGCTTAGTAACAAACATCACACATCAGCATGCTGACTTCTCAACCTGCCCCTTCCTGCCTGAGCAGCTTGCCAGCTATTCAGAATACCATTTCCACACAAGAGAGTAGTCCAAATAAGATGCCACTCAAAGTATATTTTACAGATGTTCAAAATATGATCATCTATGTTCTCAGAGCTCCTTGAGCTTGGCTCCTTTTTGGCAAGGCTTGCATCTGCCCATGGGTTCTGGTTAGACTCCTTGGGCTTGATTCTTTTTTTTGATTGGCAGTAAAAGAAATATCCCTAAAGTCACTTGGAGCACCAAAAATCAGGCTGTCGATCTCAGCAAATTGCATAAATCTACAATTTTTCCTCCCCTTTCTTACATGAGGAATGAAATAGTTAATGCTGACATTTAATTGTTATCACTGAGTATGTAACACACTTAACAGAAATGATGCAGTACACACCTCTCAGAGCTATTTCATGCTCTCTGCAGACTCATACAGATATCTCTTCATTAGTTTCACTCTGACACTTTTTACGTTTTCTTTTGAAACCATAACAACTATAGAGTTACTCTTCATTTCTGTTTATTTTTTTAAATGAAAGCATAGATTCAAAAGAGCAAAACAGGAGTTCAAGAGATGGGCTGGTACACTGTACCACAATGTACTGACTCAGTCTGTAACCCCAATGGCAGCAAAAGACCTCTTTTGACTTTTACCTCTAGTCCCAGCTCAGCCTTGGTTCTTTCCTTTAGTGACCTCCTCCCTCTTATTAGGCCTCTGTCCCCAGCTGGCCAAGCATGAATCCAGTTGGGACTTTTGTTCCCCACAAGCTCCCTGCATCCTCTAGATTCCCCCTTACTACAGAGTGAAGCTGAGACAAGCAGCTATGTCGTGCAGTCAGAGGGTGGAAATTCAACGGTTTATCCTGGGAACTAGCTTGAGCTTTTTTTCCTTCATTAAACATTCTCCACTACTTGCAAATATTCAAAAATTTATTTGTATTAAACAGCAAAGCTTGTAAAATAAAGAAAAATATAACACTAAGAAAATGTTAATAACATGTTCTCTTGATGTATATAAATAATTTCTAACATTACCAATTCTTACCTTCCAAATAAACAAGAACTTGCAGTGAGTGGAAAATGGATTCCATCGGTCCCATTCCGTTTAATAACAACAATTTTCCCAAAGAGCGGCATCTTTGAAACTGGAAGTCTTACCTGTAACGGAATGTCAAATTTACTACCGCAAATTAAGCTCTACATATTTATGAACATAGGTACCTTGGTTATATAAATTATATATAAATTCTCTACAATTTACATGAAGAAGGATCCCAACGTTTTTTCACTCACAAGGGTTCGTGGGAACTGTTAAATGATACCTAATAACAGGAGGTGAAAGTCGGCAGATGTTCATAGAAAGGCACATGCGCAGAATTCATGGGCCATGCAGAATTGTTTCCCCCAACAGAAAACACATTCTGATGGAAAGGTGCTGCAGATACTCCTTTCACTCACAAGGGGCCGCTGTGGTGCCAGAACAGAAAGCAGCCACTCCCAGCAGGGAGCAGCCCTAGTTGCGGATAGGGAAAAGAAAGAGGGTGCCTGCCTCACAGCGTCCTGCCCGTGGGGCCAGGCTGGGAGGCAGGTGTTATTGGGTTGCTTGGGGGGCGGGGGGGTCACAGACTGGGGTTCAGAAGAGCTAGAGAGGGGGACAGACTGGGGCAGGAGCTGAATGGGAGTGGGAGTGCAGGGCCACATAGGGACCGGGAGAGGAGGGATACATGGAGATGGGGGGATGAGGAGGTGGCTAAGTGGGGGTGCAAGGATACATGGAGATAGAACAGTACAGGGACACATGTGCCTGACTGAATGAGACAAGCTGGGTGTCAGACAGGGTCTGCATGGGGGAAGCTCCCTAACAATCCCTCCCCACACCCACAAAAAACCCTGTTCCATACTTTTCCCACTCAAACCCAACAACCCTCCAAGTTCACACCCAGGCTCTTTCCCAGCAATTACTTCCCTCTCCCTCAGCTCCTCTTTTACACATGACTCTCCCAGGCCTTTGCACTGCTTCTGAGGGGTGTGGGAAATACATTTCTGCATGATAGTTTACATGAATTATTACTCAGAGTTGTGTATTAATATGCCTAATAAGAAATCTATTTGTCAAAACACATTTCCTGAATCTTTTTTGTTGTCTATATTGTTACAGACATAGTTGCTTACAGTTATTTTGAAATAAATTACCAAAATAATTGAGACTGGTATTGTTACACTGTTATTTTTGACAAAACGTGCAGAATTTTAAAATATTGTGCGCATATTTTTTTTGGCGCATATTTTTAAATTTTTTTGGTGCAGAATTCCCCCATGAGTAACTGTATCAGGTTGATGTAAAAAATTACTTTTCTATCTTTACATATTTTTGGTGTCTAAGTATCACAACGTTTCCATAACTGAATGCTTTAAAAGGGGGCAATATAAACTATATTGATATAAATGAATGTGACTTGAAAGTTCTTTCAGATATAAAATCTGCTCCCAACTATTCTTAATGTTTTTATGATTATTAGCTTTCCTATGTGCCGAAATGTTTCCCCCTCTCTAATGCTGTGTGAGTCTCATTCAAACAGGGGGAAATGACTATACAAAAAAGGAAATAATTTGAATGCACATGTATGACAAAATGCTGTCATATGCACTGAAAAGAAAAAAACAAATGCAAACTTTTCTTCCATTTCTCTCAGTTATATAAATGTAAGATGTTACAATAGTGAACAAACTTTCAAATAAATGCATGACTTTTTAAATCGACTGTGCCTGTGTAAAGTTGTGTATATTACAAAAACAGCCCTTCCAAATCTCAATCATTTGGAAAAGAATGACTGCCTAATTTGAGATTAGTTGTAATACAATTTTGAGCATTAAAATTTGCAGGACATTCAGGTTAAAATTTGCAGGTAAACATATAATTAAGGGATAACTTGAAAACCACGTTTTCTATTTACTGAGTTTACTTTAACTGTTCCCTTATATAGGGCCAGTTTCTCTGATGCTGAAAAGATGGGAGCAGAAAGCCCTTTTCAAAGCAGTTTTTTTTTTAATTTCACATTATTGTGGCATACTACTTAAAGGATAAATTAATAATTAATAAATAATAATTAAAAAAAAATCAAGCATCCCTAACATCCCTATGTTACAAAAACCACCTTACATTATTTAAACTGAAAGAAATGTATAAGACCATTTACTTTTCACACTTTTTCATATATCCCTCCTCACAAGGACAACAGAACAGGTAGTTTCAGTTGGTTTTGATCCACTTCAATTTTAGATTCATGCACCAGCACAAAACTGCAGTATTAGAACTGAAAACAAGGAATGGACTCCGTTAAAAGTACTCATCTTTCCTATTTTTTTGTAAACATGAATTCCCATCTTTCTCATTTTATTTAAGATTGCTTTTAAAATTTCCAAATATTGTGCCAAATTTGATAGTGTCTCTTTAACAGAATCTTCATTTTTGTGCTGTATGAATTTAAATGAGATTTCTTAAACACTTCTTATCCTAATTGTCCCCCAACTTGAGGATTCAGGCCAATGCAAGCATAAAATAAAATGCCACACCATCTGTACAGGTTTCTAAACTAATTCATCATTTGCAAAGAAATACTCTCGGAGGATTTTAGGGGACAGCCTGATGCGCCTATGTACAGTAGTTAAAAACAAAAACAAGACACAGAGAGGAGGGATTATATGTCAACCACACCGAGACATTGATAGAACCAGTTGGAGGAGAACCTCTAGAGAAAATGACAAATCAGCATAGGCTCTGCTTGAAATGAGACTGTCAATGTCAAGGTGAGGAGACTCTGACAGTTACAATAATAATCATGACCTGAGCCACCTACCAAAAAGCTACAATACACACATGCCCCGAGCTATTTAAGCAGTTGGACCCTCTCCCCTGAAAACTCCACAACTCATCCATGCTGCTCGCCACTGGGAACCTACCCCCCCAGCATCTAGTCCCCCCCTCCCCAAAACCAACACAGACCAACCTCCCCCCCCCCCCATTCCCCTCCCCAAAATCAACACAGTTCAACCTCGGCCCCCCGCCCCCACGTTTCCCCTAGGGCTCCCTCTACCATTCCCAGCCACAACCAAGAAACAACTCTTTCGTTCCGCTTCCTCACACCCCGGTCCTCCTCCGAAACACCCCGGCTCCCGACACTACACAGAGACGGGGTGGGATACCCCCCCCCCACGACCTACCACGGCGAGCACCACACTCACAGCACCCCTTCAAACGCGGGGTGCGAAAGAGAACGGCCCCTACCTGTCCGATTGCCCCTCACGGTCCGTTCATCCAGATCTCGCCAGCCGGGCCACATTCAGCCCCCCGAGCCCGCTCCCTTCACCGCACTGCCTGAGCGTCTCCGCGCGCGCGCGCTCGCTCGCGCGTAGGCTCTTAGCTCCAGTCAGCGAGTCACTCGTCCGGCCGCCGCACTCCTGCCGGCCGGAGCCGGTACCGAGGCCGCCTCACTCCGCCCTTCGTAACCCTTCACCAATCACCACATAAAACAAACCCCAGTAGCCCCCCCAATACTTGCCTGCTTCCTTCACTCACCTGCTGACAGAAATCACCCTTCTGGAGCTGCAGAAATTTCGACCGCTGGGACAGACATCCTTCCAGGACTATTTTATTTCCCTCCCTCCTGCGCGAGTGAGGAGGAAGGATACAGGACCTGTCGATGAAAACTCCAATTCGAAAAGGCGCGCGAAACGGTCTGAGTGGTAGAAGCAAAATCACGTGATCGCCAAGGGGGCCCAATGGGAAGCGCCGGGGCTGTTTAAGTTTCAAACTGGCAGCAGACTAGGGGGGGGCGGACCGTAGGAAACAGGCATGGAATGGCGGTAGCTTAGCGCGCGCGCGTCATCGCCGCACCTCCTCCAACCCTTTCAAACGCTGCCTGGGAAGTGCTTTCGTACGTCTGCATCTTTTCCGCAAAACCTGAGCGCTGCTCCCGCCAGACCTTCACCAGAGGGAGCCTCCCGCTGTCCCGCACGCGCCCCGGAGCCTTCCGCCCTCCCATCGCTGTTAACTTCCCGCACCCCAGACTCCGTCTCTGCCTCGCTGCATTGTTTTATTCCCCCCGTCTCCTCGCCTCTTCACCGCCACTCCGCAGCAGCCCGCTCCCTCCAGCCTGTCCTGCCTTAGCCTTCGCCCAGCTCCTGCTCCTGGACCTCACGCGCCCTGCTGAAGTTCACTCCTTTTCGTCTGACTGAGAGCGAAGGACTTTGCGAGTGGCTCCTGCCGCTGGCCGCCGTGGGAGACTCTAGTATATGTGCCCCGCATCCCTTTCCTAGGGCTGAGAGACCTTCAGACCATGGCCCCCAGGGCCGGGGTTGTCTCCGACCTGGTGAAGTGGAGCATGTGACACTCAACTGGTTTATCCCTCGCTGGTGCTGGAAAGGACTGGCCTTTACTCTGCCCTAGGTAACCACCTGTTCTGCCAGGGTGACCAAGCCTGGCCTAGTCTGTTTGACTCAGCCCTGAGAAAGTGGGGTGTAACAAATAATAAAAGCGGCAAAGAGTCTTGTAAAAAGAAAAGGAGTACTTAGAATAGTGGAATATCAGGGTTTGAAGGGACCTCAGGTGGTCTTCTAGTCCAACCCCCTGCTCAAAGCAGGACCTGTGGCACCTTAGAGACTAACAAATTTATTTAAGCATAAGCTTTCGTGAGCCACAGCTCACCTTGCTGTAGCTCATGAAAGCTTATGGTCAAATAAATTTCTTAGTCTCTAAGATGCCACAAGTACTCCTTTTCTTTTTGTGAATACAGACTAATATGGCTGCTACTCTGAAAAGAGTCTTGTGGCACTTTATAGACTAACAGATGGATTGGAGCATGATCTATATTTACAGATCCAGACTAACGCAGCTACCCTTCTGCTAAATGATGATATGGCATTGACATTTTACTGCTAAGAGACCTGCTTGGGATAAACCAGGAAATAAATGGGGGTCCATGCACGTGCATATATGCACATCAGGTTGGGGCCCATATTTTTTTTTCTAATGGTTTATATAGTTTAGCAAGTTCACATTCTAGTAAGCTTTTTTATATATATAAAATTGTTTCTGTGTGTGAATTTGCAGGACTGATTTTTGTGCATGTTCTACATGATTTTTAAGTGTAGGTTTTACCTTGTATGTTTTTGGTTTAATGTGGTGTATTATTTAAGGTATGTGTGACAAGTGACCTCTATGTCTGTATTAGTGACAAAATACCATGCAAATTGACACAGCCATGTTTTTATAAACCCAGAGATTCAAAACTCAGAACAGTAAATGCTGAATAAATTTCAGAAGACTTGACCATTCTGTCAAAACATGTAGTAAAGCCAGTCAGTTGAATGAGAGGAAAATTTAGTATATTTTTAAAACCTATACCCACTTCTGTTAGTGGCACGTCCCATTTTGGAAGTATACCAAGGATAAGAGGGGTGGTCTTGAGAGCTCCACGCAGCTGAAATATTATTTTCATTGCGGAAAGCTTCTTAATCCGAAAGTACTTTTTAAATGATATATATTTTGTTTTAAGAAAATGGCTTTCAAGTGGTTTGTGGAGTTAAATCCAGAAGTTCAGCTAAGACTATATTTATAACTTTTATATTTAGTTCACCTTCTAACTTACACCTGTACCATTGTTCAGAGATATAAAATGCAGGTCTCTAGCCTTCCCCACCAGCCATATCAATTTCACTCTCCTTCAGAGGTTCATCAATGTGATACAATGTAGTATGTGTGAACCCCATCTTGAGGAAACTATCCATAGGGTGCACGTCGTGTACTAAGTAGAGCTTATCTGGGGTTCCTGTGTGTTGTGTAAGGGGATGGAGATGGCAGGTCATAAATGATCTAGGGGAGGGAGGAGAACAGGAGAATCCACTACTGCCCCAAAAGATATCTGTTATCCATTTGGCTGGAGTAGGCTCTGCAGTTCTGCTCCTCCATTCCTCTAACCCTGGAGGGATTCTGATAGGTGCTGAGAGTGGAATTTTCAAAAGGGCTTAAGGAGCTCAAACTTTATTGAGCTGCAGTGGCACTTGTGCACCTAAATGACTTATGATTTAGGAGCACAGGTCCCTTTTCTTCTGTTGGTTTGAACAAGTATAAATGTGTTATGCTGACAATTAAACTCTGCTGTTTTTGATTCAGCACTCCTAAAGATTATCTATATAATAAGATTCCATGTTTATCACTCTGAAGCCTAGAATGTTTGAGTCAGTGTGAAGCAATCAAAACAGCTACCAGCATAGTTGAGAGCTTTTTGTTTAGAACATCACCAGGTTCAGTCATCACTGTTGATCAAATTTTTTGGCCATTTTGACTTAATAAATCACACCTGTGAGTTACAGTAGGTATTTATCTAGGCCATGCCAAGAGTACTAGACCATTGCAATATCAGAGTTAATCAATTATCACCTTTATTCTACAGCATCCTTTGGTTCTTTGGACTTGCTGGTGTCCATGAGAGGCTCAATTAGCAAAGTACAAACAGGCAAAGCTAGCTATATATAATTTAAAGGGAAATGGTCATCTTTCAAAAATTTAGTTGAAAATAGTTTCATGTGCAAAGGCAGCCCTTGAATCTCCCTACCAATATTTGTGGATCATTTTCCTGTTTTTTTTAAATGGACCCACATACTCAAAAAGGGAAACTGAAGGACCAATCCTGCATAGGTGCTGATGCCGTGGGTGCTCCAGGGCTCAAGCACCCATGGAAAAAAATAGGGTGTATGTGGGGGGCGAGGGAGAGGCTCAAGCTCCCACCAGCCACAGTGGTTCTGTGGCCCTGGGGCTGACCACGGATCAGCTGTTCAGCGGGGCCCTGGGGCTAGCCACTGATGGGCTGTTTGGCTGGCATTGCTGTTTGATAGTGACTGCCAGAGCCCCCACAATCTCTTCATGCCACAGGCAGAAAAGGGGAGCAGGTTATGTGTGCTCCGTTCCAAGGAATGGTGATACTTTTCCTCAGCGCTCTGGATCCAGCTCTGCTCTCCTGCCCATAGCAAGCCCTAGCATTTCCAAAAGGCCATGCTGCAGTAAGTGACACGGTACTAGCTTCATCCTGACACAAGTGTCAGAGTCACACAAATGGTCCTCAGTGCACCTTTGTGCCTGGTCTGAGTTCTAGGACCAGGACTTATCTAACTATATGGTGGGAAGCAGTGAAACTGATTATGTAATAAGGTCATGATTTAGCAAAGGACTTTGGGACCAAAGTGTCATCAAATGCACAAAGTAAACAGATTATAAACTTTTTTCTATTTTTTTCTAATTTCAGTTTAAGGAATTTCACAGGGTACTTGTAACAATAGTAGGTAAAAATGTTCAAACAGAATTGTGATTTTAATATAGCTTTATATAGAAATGGTTACTTGCTGTAACTGTGGTTCTTCAAAATGTGATGCAGATATATATTCCACTTAGGTGTGTGTGTGCCCAGTGCACCGCAGTCAGACTTTTGCTAGCAATACCCATGGAGGGGCAGCGCTTCTGCCTTGTGGCTGTGGCCCGTTCCCTGGCTATATGAGGTGGTGCTGCCCTGACCCCCCCCTCAGTTCCTTTGCACCGAAAGCCTATGAGAGGAGACTCCAGTGCAGAGGGGACAGAGGGTGGGTCATGGAATACTCATCTGCATCACATCTCAAAGAATCACAGTTACAGTAAATAGCAGTTTCTTCTTCTTTGAGGAGATGCAGATGTGTATTCCACTTAGGTTACCCCATCCGAGGGGATGGAGCTAGGAATCTGTTGAAATAAAGATTTCCCAAGCCTTTGTCCTCTCTGGAAGATGCAGAATTAGCATAATGGTCCATAAATGTATGGATGGATGACCACATGACTGCCCTGCAAATGTCACTGGGGAATGCTATCGTCGTTGCTTGTGCTTTCGTCTAATGAGTTCATATTTGCTCAGGAGACATAGCCGAAGCTGTCTCATATGCAGTCTTGATAAAGAATATTATCCATCTAGAGATGGCCGGTGCAGAAACCGCTTGCCCCTTCGTGTCATCTGCATATGACACAAGTAGGCACAGCGAAAAACTAAATGCTTCAGTCCTATCCAGATGAAAAGCTAGACATTGCCTGACATCCAAAGTATGGAAGCGCTCTTCCTTAGGGGATGAAAGCAGTTTAGGGAAAAACACAGGTAAATACACCTGGCCTGTCATGGATTGCAGACTGAGCCAGAGATGTTGAATTGCCTGGAAGTGGTCGGTCGGCAGGAATGCTCTCAATGTCATGGAATCTAACAGGGCCCCAATGAACTCGATTTTTTGAGTGGGAGCTAAAGTTGACTTTCTGGGGTTCAGACTGAGGCCCAGACAGTCAGGCAAGTGCAGTGTGGTACAGTGCAGGAGGTGGGAAAAATGACATTAGTTGTCTTCAATGTGGGTGGCGCGTGAAACATCCCAGTGGGGGCTAGCCCTGGCCCTGCCCATTCCATCCGAGGCCCCCCCCACCCCACCCGTTCCACCTCCTCCTCACCTGCCAGAGCCCCCAACCCCTCCTCCCCCCCCCCACCCCTGTCATCAGAGGGGCCCCAGCTGAACCATTCCAAACACCCACACTGGCCATCCCAAGCCCTGGACCACTGGCCAGCCCATGCTGGCCACTCCGAGTCCCAGGCTGCCAGCTGGCTGGAGCCGCCGGCCAGCCTGCGCTGTCCTGGGTCACCAGCCAGCCCAAGCTGCTGGCCCGAGCTGAGCTGCTGCTGGCTTTGAGGGCGAGGGAAAGCAAGGGCAGGGCCTCGGGGCAGAGCATGGATGGGGCCACGGCCTGGGTTAGGGGAGGCTTAGCTGCCCTGGCCTATTATACTCGCCGCCTGTGGTTTTCAGTGTATATTGGGTGAGACAGATTGGGAGGATCACAACCTCAATTCTGATGTGGAGGCGTCTTGAGACCCTGGTGACAGGGCCAGAGAGACCAGAGGGAGCAAGTAGGGGATCCCATTAGTCCGTTATCCAGAACATGGCGAGAAGTAGTGCTGCAGACTGGGGCGGTACTGCTGATGTCGAACATACCAGAGCCAAAGGCGGTATCAGTCCCAGTGTGAATAGTGGCATCGGAATGCTTGATTGTACTGATGCCAAGGGTGACGAAAGCTGCCAGGGATGCATGTGCAATGCCAACTACAGTGGTGCTGAGGACGTTCCCCATGCCACTCCAGGGGTCGCTAGGGGCGCTCCCCAATGGGTACTGCTAGGGGACAAACTTCCGGCACTGGTGCACGTGGCGAGCACGCACACCTATTGTGGAATAGACATGAGCAACACATCTCGAAGAACACCAGTTACGGAAAAGGTAACTGTCCTTTTTACGATTCTTTGCATCAAGTCGTCTAAAGAATACCATCAACTGAACAACTTTTCCTCCTTGGTGGCTTTAATGCAAGAGTCAGTGCAGACAACAACTCATGGCCAGATGATCTAGGACATTTTGAATGGAAATGGCCAACCGCTTCTTGAATTCTGCGCCCAAAACCAAATGTGCATTACCAATTCATATTTTACAGGAAAAGATCACCACAAAGTGTTATGGCGACATCCACGATCAGGCCACTGGCACCAATTAGATCTTGCTATCGTCAGGAGGAAAGACCTACCCTTAGTGCAGAACACTCGTACGTTCCACAGTGCTGATTGTGATCACTCCATGATTATTAGAAATCATTATTAGATTATTATTAGTTTCTTGGTTACAGCCAAGAAACTACATAGAGCAAAACCTAGGAGCAAGCCCAAAATCAATGCTATGAATACCAAAAACCAGGGGAAATGTCAGGAGTTTGTGAAGGCTTTTGAACTTAGCATGCATGGGAAGTCATTGCCAGAGAAGGCAGAGGAATTTTGGGAAGATTTAAGAACAACAATCCATGAAACAGCTTTAGCTACATTTGGGGGAAAGAGACCATCAAAAAATGACTAGTCTGAAGAAAATAAAGTGGAACTATTACCTCTCATCAACATTAAGAACACAGCCTATTTGGAACACAACAAGAAGCCAACAGAGACTTCGACATGAAAAAATGAGGTACAGCAAACAAGCAGACACTGTACTGATCATTATTGGGTCAAGGTCTGTGAACAGATAGAGAACCTCAGACACAGGAAACCCCAAAGTTATGTATGACAGCCTGAAGAAAGCTTTAGGTCCCACTGTCAACAAGGTTGCCACTCTCAAATTGCACAGAGGTGAAGTCATTACAGATAAAAGCAAGCAGTTGTCTCGGTGGTTGAACACTATTCAGAGCTATACACAAAAGAAAATCACCACCAGCGAATCACTGGACCAAATACCAATTCTACAGGTCATGCCAGAGCTAGATGTGGAGCCCACTGTAGAAGAGCTAAGCAAGGCCATTGATTTGCTATCAAGCAGCAAAGCTCCTGGAAAAGATGGCATCCCAGCGGAAATCCTCAAGTGCGGGAAAGACAGCCTGTTAACAAACAAAACACTGCACTTCACTCGAAGAAGAACATATCCTCCTAGGGGCTAGATTTGAGTGTTGGTGCAGAGGCACTAATGATGTTCACAGAGCCAATAGTTGTCTGAAGTTTAAGTGAGATGATATGGTCTGACTTCCCAATGGGTGTTTCTAAGGGTATGTCTACACTACGAAATCAGGTCGAATTTATAGAAGTCGGTTTTTTAGAAATCGGTTTTATATATTCGAGTGTGTGTGTCCCCACAGAAAATGCTCTAAGTGCATTAACTCGGCGGAGTGCTTCCACAGTACCGAGGCAAGCGTCGACTTCTGGAGTGTTGCACTGTGGGTAGCTATTCCACAGTTCCCGCAGTCTCCGCTGCCCATTGGAATTCTGGGTTGAGATCCCAATGCCTGATGGGGCTAAAACATTGTCGCGGGTGGTTCTGGGTACATATCGTCAGGCCCCCGTTCCCTCCCTCCCTCCATGAAAGCAGCAGCAGACAATCGTTTCACGCCTTTTTTCCTGAGTTACCTGTGCAGACGCCATACCACGGCAAGCATGGAGCCTGCTCAGGTAACCGTCACCGTATGTCTCCTGGGTGCTGGCAGACGTGGTACTGCATTGCTACACAGTAGCAGCAACCCATTGCCTTGTGGCAGCAGACGGTACAGTACGACTGGTAGCCGTCCTCGTCATGTCCGAGGTGCTCCTGGCCACGTCGGCCAGGAGCGCCTGGGCAGACATGGGCGCAGGGACTAAATTTGGAGTGACTCGAACAGGTCATTCTCTTTAGTCCTGCAGTCAGTCCTATTGAACCGCCTTATGGTGAGCAGGCAGACGATACGGATTGCTAGCAGTCCTACTGTACCATCTTCTGCCAAGCAGCCATGAGATGTGGATGGCATGCAGTCCTTCTGCACCGTCTGCTGCCAGCCAAAGATGTAAAAGATAGATGGAGTGGATCAAAACAAGAAATAGACCAGATTTGTTTTGTACTCATTTGCTTCCCCCCCCCCACCCCGTCTAGGGGACTCATTCCTCTAGGTCACACTGCAGTCACTCACAGAGAAGGTGCAGCAAGGTAAATCTAGCCATGTATCAATCAGAGGCCAGACTAACCTCATTGTTCCAATAAGAACAATGACTTAGGTGCACCATTTCTTATTGGAACCCTCTGTGAAGTCCTGCCTGAAATACTCCTTGATGTAAAGCCACCCCCTTTGTTGATTTTAGCTCCCTGAAGCCAACCCTGTAAGCGATGTCGTCAGTCGCCCCTCCCTCCGTCAGAGCAACGGCAGACAATCGTTCCGCGCCTTTTTTCTGTGTGGACGCCATACCAAGGCAAGCATGGAGGCTGCTCAGCTCACTTTGGCAATTAGGAGCACATTAAACACCACACGCATTATCCAGCAGTATATGCAGCACCAGAACCTGGCAGAGCGATACCGGGCGAGGAGGCGACGTCAGCGTGGTCACGTGAGTGATCAGGACATGGACACAGATTTCTCTGAAAGCATGGGCCCTGCCAATGCATGCATCATGGTGCTAATGGGGCAGGTTCATGCTGTGGAACGCCGATTCTGGGCTCGGGAAACAAGCACAGACTGGTGGGACCGCATAGTGTTGCAGGTCTGGGACGATTCCCAGTGGCTGCGAAACTTTTGCATGCGTAAGGGCACTTTCATGGAACTTTGTGACTTGCTTTCCCCTGCCCTGAAGCGCATGAATACCAAGATGAGAGCAGCCCTCACAGTTGAGAAGTGAGTGGCGATAGCCCTGTGGAAGCTTGCAATGCCAGACAGCTACCGGTCAGTTGGGAATCAATTTGGAGTGGGCAAATCTACAGTTGGAGCTGCTGTGATGCAAGTAGCCCACGCAGTCAAAGATCTGCTGATATCAAGGGTAGTGACCCTGGGAAATGTGCAGGTCATAGTGGATGGCTTTGCTGCAATGAGATTCCCTAACTGTGGTGGGGCTATAGACGGAACCCATATCCCTATCTTGGCACCGGAGCACCAAGCCGGCGAGTACATAAACCGCAAGGGGTACTTTTCAATAGTGCTGCAAAGTCTGGTGGATCACAAGGGACGTTTCACCAACATCAACGTGGGATGGCCGGGAAAGGTACATGACGCTCGCATCTTCAGGAACTCTGGTCTGTTTCAAAAGCTGCAGGAAGGGACTTTATTCCCAGACCAGAAAATAACTGTTGGGGACGTTGAAATGCCTATATGTATCCTTGGGGACCCAGCCTACCCCTTAATGCCATGGCTCATGAAGCCGTACACAGGCAGCCTGGACAGTAGTCAGGAGCTGTTCAACTACAGGCTGAGCAAGTGCAGAATGGTGGTAGAATGTGCATTTGGACGTTTAAAGGCGCGCCGGTGTAGTTTACTGACTCGCTTAGACCTCAGTGAAACCAATATTCCCACTGTTATTACTGCTTGCTGTGTGCTCCACAATATCTGTGAGAGTAAGGGGGAGATGTTTATGGCAGGGTGGGAGGTTGAGGCAAATCGCCTGGCTGCTGGTTACGTGCAGCCAGACACCGGGGGGTTAGAAGAGCACAGGAGGGCGCGGTACGCATCAGAGAAGCTTTGAAAACCAGTTTCATGACTGGCCAGGCTACGGTGTGAAAGTTCTGTTTGTTTCTCCTTGATGAAATCCCCCGCCCCTTGGTTCACTCTACTTCCCTGCAAGCTAACCACCCTCCCCTCCTCCCTTTAATCATTGCTTGCAGAAGCAATAAAGTCATTGTTGCTTCACATTCATGCATTCTTTATTCATTCATAACACAAATAGGGGGATGACTACCAAGGTAGCCCAGGAGGGGTGGTGGAGGAGGGAAGGCAAATGCCACACAGCACTTTAAAAGTTTACAACTTTAAAATTTATTGAATGCCAGCCTTCTTTTTTGGGGGCAATCCTCTGTGGCGGAGTGGCTGGTTGGCCGGTGGCCCCCCCACTGCGTTCTTGGGCGTCTGGGTGTGGAGGCTATGGAACTTGTGGAGGAGGGCAGTTGGTTACACAAGAGCTGTAGTGGCAGTCTGTGCTCCAGCTGCCTTTGCTGCAGCTCAACCATACACTGGAGCATACTGGTTTGATCCTCCAGCAGCCTCAGCATTGAATCCTGCCTCCTCTCATCACGCTGCCACCACATTTGAGCTTCAGCCCTGTCTTCAGCCCACCACTTACTCTCTTCAGCCCACCACCTCTCCTCCCGGTCATTTTGTGCTTTCCTGCACTCTGACATTATTTGCCTCCACGCATTCGTCTGTGCTCTGTCAGTGTGGGAGGACAGCATGAGCTCGGAGAACATTTCATCGCGAGTGCGTTTTTTTTTCTTTCTAAGCTTCACTAGCCTCTGGGAAGGAGAAGATCCTGTGATCATTGAAACACATGCAGCTGGTGGAGAAAAAAAAAGGGACAGCGGTATTTAAAAAGACACATTTTATAAAATAGTGGCTACACTCTTTCAGGGTAAAGCTTGCTGTTAACTTTACATACATAGCACATGTGCTTTCATTACAAGGTCGCATTTTGCCTCCCCCCACCGCGTGGCTACCCCCTCAACCCTCCCCTCTCCCCGTGGCTAACAGCGGGGAACATTTCTGTTCAGCCACAGGTAAACAGCCCAGCAGGAACGGGCTCCTCTGAGTGTCCCCTGAAGAAAAGCACCCTATTTCAACCAGGTGACCATGAAGGATATCTCACTCTCCTGAGGATAACACAGAGAGATAAAGAACAGATGTTGTTTGAACGCCAGCAAACATACACTGCAATGCTTTGTTGTACAATGATTCCCGAGTACATGTTACTGGCCTGGAGTGGTAAAGTGTCCTACCATGGAGGACGCAATAAGGCTGCCCTCCCCAGAAACCTTTTGCAAAGGCTTTGGGAGTACATCCAGGAGAGCCGCGAATGCCAGGGCAAAGTAATCCTTTCACATGCTTGCTTTTAAACCATGTATAGTATTTTAAAAGGTACACTCACCGGAGGTCCCTTCTCCGCCTGCCGGGTCCAGGAAGCAGCCTTGGGTGGGTTCGGGGGGTACTGGCTCCAGGTCCAGGGTGAGAAACAGTTCCTGGCTGTCGGGAAAACCGGTTTCTCCACTTGCTTGCTGTGAGCTATCTACAACCTCCTCCTCATCATCATCATCTTCTTCGTCCCCAAAACGTGCTTCCCTGTTGCCTCCATCTCCATTGAAGGAGTCAAACAACACGGCTGGGGTAGTGGTGGCTGAACCCCCTAAAATGGCATGCAGCTCATCATAGAAGCGGCATGTTTGGGGCTCTGACCCGGAGTGCCCGTTCGCCTCTCTGGTTTTCTGGTAGGCTTGCCTCAGCTCCTTAAGTTTCATGCAGCACTGCTTCGGGTCCCTGTTATGGCCTCTGTCCTTCATGCCCTGGGAGATTTTGACAAAGGTTTTGGCATTTCGAAAACTGGAATGGAGTTCTGATAGCACGGATTCCTCTCCCCATACAGCGATCAGATACCGTACCTCCCGTTCGGTCCATGCTGGAGCTCTTTTGCGATTCTGGGACTCCATCATGATCACCTCTGCTGATGAGCTCTGCATGGTCACCTGCAGCTTGCCACGCTGGCCAAACAGGAAATGAGATTAAAAAGTTCGCAGTTCTTTTCCTGTCTACCTGGCCAGTGCATCTGAGTTGAGAGTGACTGTCCAGAACGGTCACAGTGGAGCGCTCTGGGATAGCTCCCGGAGGCCAATACCGTTGAATTGTGTCCACAGTACCCCAAATTCGACCCAGCAAGGCCAATTTAAGCGCTAATCCACTTGTCAGGGGTGGAGTAAGGAAATCGATTTTAAGAGCCCTTTAAGTCGAAATAAAGGGCTTCATCGTGTGGACAGGTGCAGGTTTACATCTATTTAACGCTGCTAAATTCGACCTAAAGTCCTAGTGTAGACCAGGGCTAAGAGCTTTACCCACATTTCTCACAATGAAACTGACACTGTGCAGGCAATTTTCTTCACTGCTTTTACCTTGCCCAAATAAGGTGTTATTGGCCTCTTGGACAGAACCAGCATCTGCAAATCTTTATCAGCTGCTACTTAAATGCTGGAAAGAGGATGAGGTACCACAAGAGATGTGTGATGCAAACATCATCACTTTGTATAAAAATAAAGGCGAAAAGAGCTACTGCAACAACTACAGGGGTATCTCGCTACTAAGCATAGCCGGAAAAGCTTTCGCAAAAGTCATCTTAGTGCGTCTACAATATCTGGCAAATCATAGAATCATAGAATATCAGGGTTGGAAGGGACCCCAGAAGGTCATCTAGTCCAACCCCCTGCTCGAAGCAGGACCAATTCCCAGTTAAATCATCCCAGCCAGGGCTTTGTCAAGCCTGACCTTAAAAACCTCTAAGGAAGGAGATTCTACCACCTCCCTAGGTAACGCATTCCAGTGTTTCACCACTCTCTTAGTGAAAAAGTTTTTCCTAATATCCAATCTAAACCTCCCCCACTGCAACTTGAGACCATTACTCCTCGTTCTGTCATCTGCTACCATTGAGAACAGTCTAGAGCCATCCTCTTTGGAACCCCCTTTCAGGTAGTTGAAAGCAGCTATCAAATCCCTCCTCATTCTTCTCTTCTGCAGGCTAAACAATCCCAGCTCCCTCAGCCTCTCCTCATAAGTCATGTGTTCCAGACCCCTAATCACTTTTGTTGCCCTTCGCTGGACTCTCTCCAATTTATCCACATCCTTCTTGTAGTGTGGGGCCCAAAACTGGACACAGTACTCCAGATGAGGCCTCACCAATGTCGAATAGAGGGGAACGATCACGTCCCTCGATCTGCTCGCTATGCCCCTACTTATACATCCCAAAATGCCATTGGCCTTCTTGGCAACAAGGGCACACTGCTGACTCATATCCAGCTTCTCGTCCACTGTCACCCCTAGGTCCTTTTCCGCAGAACTGCTGCCTAGCCATTCGGTCCCTAGTCTGTAGCGGTGCATTGGATTCTTCCATCCTAAGTGCAGGACCCTGCACTTATCCTTATTGAACCTCATCAGATTTCTTTTGGCCCAATCCTCCAATTTGTCTAGGTCCTTCTGTATCCTATCCCTCCCCTCCAGCGTATCTACCACTCCTCCCAGTTTAGTATCATCCGCAAATTTGCTGAGAGTGCAATCCACACCATCCTCCAGATCATTTATGAAGATATTGAACAAAACCGGCCCCAGGACCGACCCTTGGGGCACTCCACTTGATACCGGCTGCCAACTAGACATGGAGCCATTGATCACTACCCATTGAGCCCAACAATCTAGCCAGCTTTCTACCCACCTTATAGTGCATTCATGCAGCCCATACTTCCTTAACTTGCTGACAAGAATACTGTGGGAGACCGTGTCAAAAGCTTTGCTAAAGTCAAGAAACAATACATCCACTGCTTTCCCTTCATCCACAGAACCAGTAATCTCATCATAAAAGGCAATTAGATTAGTCAGGCGTGACCTTCCCTTGGTGAATCCATGCTGGCTGTTCCTGATCACTTTCCTCTCATGCAAGTGCTTCAGGATTGATTCTTTGAGGACCTGCTCCATGATTTTTCCAGGGACTGAGGTGAGGCTGACTGGCCTGTAGTTCCCATGATCCTTCTTCTTCCCTTTTTTTAAAGATTGGCACTACATTAGCCTTTTTCCAGTCATCCGGGACTTCCCCCGTTCGCCACGAGTTTTCAAAGATAATGGCCAATGGCTCTGCAATCACAGCCGCCAATTCCTTCAGCACTCTCGGATGCAACTCGTCCGGCCCCATGGACTTGTGCACGTCCAGCTTTTCTAAATAGTCCCTAACCACCTCTATCTCCACAGAGGGCTGGCCATCTCTTCCCCATTTTGTGATGCCCAGCGCAGCAGTCTGGGAGCTGACCTTGTTCGTGAAAACAGAGGCAAAAAAAGCATTGAGTACATTAGCTTTTTCCACATCCTCTGTCACTAGGTTGCCTCCCTCATTCAGTAAGGGGCCCACACTTACCTTGGCTTTCTTCTTGTTGCCAGCATACCTGAAGAAACCCTTCTTGTTACTCTTGACATCTCTGGCTAGCTGCAGCTCCAGGTGCGATTTGGCCCTCCTGATATCATTCCTACATGCCCGAGCAATATTTTTATACTCTTCCCTGGTCATATGTCCAACCTTCCACTTCTTGTAAGCCTCTTTTTTATGTTTAAGATCCGCTAGGATTTCACCATTAAGCCAAGCTGGTCGCCTGCCATATTTACTATTCTTTCGACTCATCGGGATGGTTTGTCCCTGTAACCTCAACAGGGATTCCTTGAAATACAGCCAGCTCTCCTGGACTCCTTTCCCCTTCAAGTTAGTCCCCCAGGGGATCCTGGCCATCCGTTCCCTGAGGGAGTCAAAGTCTGCTTTCCTGAAGTCCAGGGTCCGTATCCTGCTGCTTACCTTTCTTCCCTGCGTCAGGATCCTGAACTCAACCAACTCATGGTCACTGCCTCCCAGATTCCCATCCACTTTTGCTTCCCCCACTAATTCTACCCGGTTTGTGAGCAGCAGGTCAAGAAAAGCGCCCCCCCTAGTTGGCTCCTCTAGCACTTGCGCCAGGAAATTGTCCCCTACGCTTTCCAAAAACTCTGGATTGTCTATGCACCGCTGTATTGCTCTCCCAGCAGATATCAGGAAAATTAAAGTCACCCATGAGAATCAGGGCATGCGATCTAGTAGCTTCCGTGAGCTGCCGGAAGAAAGCCTCATCTACCTCATCCCCCTGGTCCGAGCTCCTGGTCTATAGCAGACTCCCACCAATACATCACTCTTGTTGCACACACTTCTAAACTTAATCCAGAGACACTCAGGTTTTTCTACAGTTTCGTACCGGAGCTCTGAGCAGTCATACTGCTCCCTTACATACAGTGCTACTCCCCCACCTTTTCTGCCCTGCCTGTCCTTCCTGAACAGTTTATAACCATCCATGACAGTACTCCAGTCATGTCTAGCTGAATCGTGTCTACCTGAATTACAATGCAGCTTCAGGGCTGGAAAAGCAACTATAGACATGATATTGTCTCTGCATCAACTCCAAGAAAAGTGCAGAGAGCAAAACCAAACACTGTACATCGCCTTTGTGGACCTAACCAAAGCATTTGACACAGTCAGCAGAGCAGGTCTGTTTGCAATACTAAAAAAGATAGGATGTCCACTAACCCTGTTAAGTCTCATACGTTCATTCCACAACAACATGAGAGCAACTGTCCAGTTTGACGGGTCCACTTCAGACAGCTTTGAGATGAAAAGCAGAGAGAAGCAAGGATGTGTTCTTGACCCTACACTCTTTGGAATCTTCTTCTCAGTACTCTTGAACTGTGTATGTGAGGACATGAAAGAAGCAGTGTATCTCCACACAAGATCAGATGGGATACTCTTCAACCTGTCCCAACTTAAATCAAAGACCAAAGTCAAAAAGGTGCTAATCAGGGAACTTCTATTTGCTGATGATGATGCTCTCATAGCCCACAAAATGAAGATCTATTACAAGAATTCATGGACTGCCTTTCAAGTAGCTGTCAGGCATTTGCTCTCACCGTCAGAATCAAGAAAACGGTTGAATTAGGACAGGGGGTTCTACAAGATCATTCAATTACCTTAAATGCAAACCAGCTAGAAGTAGTCCAAAAGGTCAGTTATTTAGGTTCTTCAGTGACCACCAACCTCCTACTGGATGAGAACTATATGTTTGCATTGGAAAGGCTGCCATCACCTTTAGCAGACTAACTAGAAGAGCATGGAACAACTCAAAGCTTACCATCAAGACCAAAATGCTAGCCTGCCAAGCTTGTGTCCTCAGCACTCTCATGTGTGGTGGAGAATCATGGACAACTTATGCTCATCAGGAGAAAAGGTTGAACAGTTTCCACCTATGTTGTTTACACCGCATACCCAACACTAAATGGCAAGATAAGTCACCAATGCAGAGGTTCTTCAAAGGGCAAATTTACCAGCTGTGACAGCCCTGCTCAAGCAAAGACCACTGCGCTGGCTGGGCCATCTGAATAGCTTGGAAGACGGATGAATACCCAAGGACATGCTATACAGGGAGCTATCAGAGGGAACAAGAACAACAGGATGTCCCAAGCTTCACTATAAAGACACATGCAAGCGGGATATGAAAGAATTTGGAATTGATCCTGACCAATGGGAAATCTTGGCAAATGATCATAAACAGGGGTGCCATTGTCTCCATCAGGGTATCAAATCCATGACAGGAGCTGACTCCTACAGCTTGAAGAGAAAAGAGCCGGTAAGAAGTAAGCAGCTCCCAAACAAGATACATACATTTGCAATAACTGCCAAAGATCATACAAATCTCAGATTGGCCTGTTCAGTCACATGAGACATTGCAAACCATCTACATCATAGGCTGCAATTCCCACCGTCTCTTGCAGATGAAAGGATGCCAACATTTGTTTATTTCATGGTAAATCTTTGGGAGTGATTATTGTATGATTAACTCTCTCTTTCATCAAGATGCTTGGATTACATGGATACATTATTGCAACTAAGATTTGTGGATGCTTGAATTCATAAGAATAGGACCCCATGAATTCTGACATTTTAGTCTCATG